AGATTAAGTGCAGATTAAGCTTCAGGTAGATTGCAAATGAAAGAAAACAAAAGAGCAGAACAGGATCTTCTTAAAAGGGAATGTTTTGAATTTGACCAGTTGTATTTTGGATCCGATAGTACACCCAACTATCAACAGCACAGGGAAGCTGCGGATCTAGGATCATAGGGTCATTCAGGCTGGAAGGAACCTGAAGAGCTCTCTGGTCCAACCTCCTCCTCAGCAGGCTCAGCTGAGAGCTCAGAGCTTTATCCAGTTGGGTCTTGAAAACCTCCAAGGACAGAGACTGCACAACCTCTCTGGGCCACCAGATCTAGTGCCTGACTGTTTTCACTGGGAAAAGGGTTTCCTTACATCCAGTCTGAACTTCTCATGTTTTGACTCTTGCCCATGGTGTCTCGTTCTCCCACCATGCCCCACCGTGGAGAGCCCAGCTTCATCTTCTTGCTGACCTCCTTGTAGGTGCTGGGGGGCTGCTGTTGGGTTCCTCTTGATAGCTGTCTCTGCCCCAGGCTGAACTAGCCCTTGTCCTTCAGCCCCTCCAGGGCGAGTGCTCAAGCCCTGGCCATCTAAGAGGTCCTCTGCTGAACTCATGCCAGTTTATCATCATCTTCCCTTTACTGGGAGATCCAAAACTAGACATGATACTCTAGATGGAGTCTGAGTGCCGAGTAAGGAGGGGATGTTCAATCCCTTCCATCTCCTGGCTCTGTTACTGGTCACACAGCCCAGGATGTTGCTGGCCCCCTTTGCTGCCAGGGTGCTCAGCTGGCTCATGCTCAGCTCCCTGTCTGCCAAGACACCCAGGGGTTTTTCAGCAAAGCTGCTCCCCACCCCTGTCAAGCCACAGCCAGCACCAATGCAGGGGGCTCATCCTTCACAGGTGCAGGACCTTGCACTTGTCCTTGTTGACTTTCATGAGGTTCCTGTCAGCACATTCCTCCAGCCTGTCTCGGTCCCCCTGGGTGGCAGCCCTTTCCTCGAGCGTAACAACTGTCTCTGGCATTATGTAACTGCTGTGAATTACTAACTTGTCAACAGAGTAAATAAACCACAAAAAGGAAGCAGATTGCCCCCTTTCCCATTTTAATGTTTTCCATTTGCCGAATACTTGGAGATCTACTTGTAGCAGTAGAGCAGAAAAAAGAAATGTGTAGGCTTAAATATGAAGCTTATATTGATAGCATAATCCTAAATTTGTATTAGCCCAGCTGCTTTTTCGTCTTAACCAGGAAAAATATGCGATCTGGGATCACAATATTAGAGGAGTTGGAGCTGGAAAATACCTGACAGGTCATCTAGTTCATTTGTAATGCAGGATTTCTCTGACCAGTACCTTTTCTAATGTGTTGTCTATGTGCAGAAGTGTCAAGTGTTGGGGTTTCCTTCACTGCCTTGGAGGGTAACTGCATGAAGACGTTTTTTCATTATGTTCAACATAAGTGTTTCTTTTCTTAATTTCTTCCTATTATTCCTAATTATCACTTGTGTCATCCCTAAACAACCCAGTCATTGGTGTTTGTGTGGTAAATACTGTAAAATCGCTTACTTAACTGGGTTGGTTCTGCTATAGAATTCATAGCCCGTCAGTTGAATTTTTGCCATTAGATGTCACTACATGTACAACAGACTGTTTTTAAAAGACTTGATTTTTATTTAGCCTCCCAGAAAAATGGAGGAGGGAATTGGGGGATGTAGGAGAGGGTCTGGTAGTATGCTTTGAGATAACTGCTTCATAAATAGTATGTTGGATATGCCTTTACTAAAAGCAGCACAGAAGGAAACATAAGATTTTTGACTTAACTCCAACAACCAACAGATGATGCTGTGACCTTAAGCATATATAAATATGTTTAGCAGCTGCTGTGTAACATATTTATAAGTGTTTAGTGACCTGGAGGTTAATCAAAATGAGTTTGGTGATCTCAGCTCAGTTCTTAATGGACTCCACTTCGTATTATAGCACTGATGCAGCACAATTTGTCACAGTTGGCAGTCTTTACTCAAAGGAGGCCCACTGTGGAGTGAGAATTAAAGGCTGAAGTAATACCTGATTATTTCTCCCTAAAGAAGCTTTCCATTCCAAGCTATCACAGACCAGAATAATATGTGGGGAAGCTCTGTACTACATCCTGCACCCAATCTCCGGATAACATAACATTTACTCTTACAGGATGTCACCCTTCAGCGTTACTGAATTAGCTCAAGCATGCTGCGGTCAGTGCTTTGATAGGGGCTGGGGAAGGGTGAAGTTCTGCCAAGGATGGTGCTGATTCTTTTCCTTTGCTGGGCTCTTTCCAGAGATGGAGAGCTGTGTCTGTTCCCCGTGCGGCATTACATGGGAGGATGAAAGGGAAAGGTGTTGCCTTGCCAGATGAAATTTCGGAAGTAGGTTCTGCCATTGAGATCTTTCTGGGTACAGAAGCAGTTTTTTTAGACTTCAACTGTCCTGGCCAAAGCTAGTATATTCCTTTTATTTGATTTCCACTCTCTGTCTAAACTGGAAATAGTTTCCTACTTTTTTGATTTAAAGCTGTTGTACAGCAGTGTGCTTTCCTCAACTACAATTGAGATTGATGTCCGTGGTGGGTAACATGAAATAGGTTGTACCTCAATTTGAGACAATGAACAGCCCCACAGCTGAGGAGAGATACATGCTATAGGAGGTAATAGTATTGAAATATTAGTAGGTCAGGACCAATTTCTGCTTACCTGCAAGGTGCATATCTCCTGTGTATTTTTAAAGCAAAAGAAGGACGTTGGAGAGATAGGTGCCTGTAGAGACTTCTGTCTTTTCCAGAATCCCAGCCTTACTCCATAAAAGAACCTTTCAAAATCTATTACTTCTTTTTTAAAATGCAAAAATGCACTTGCACAGTTTCTCTACTAGTAACTACCCAGTAACAGAAAGGATCTCACTTATCCAGCAGAGAAATAACTTTTCAGTCAACTGCATTTGTTGAAATACAGCAATTTGCAGCTAAAAAGGGGGGGTGAAGGGGTTTAAGATACAGTATTTACATAAGAAAAACTTGATTGTTTGACTGAAATCTTTTAAAGTTGTTGCCAAATGGTCCTGCTTTTCTCTTTTCCCTTTGTAATTTTCCCTTGGAGCTTTGCACCACTGTGCATTTTAAGTCTTTTCCCTCCACTACTCATTGCAAGCTTCATCAGGGAAATGACATTGTATGGCAGTTGTCTCCTTCATATCAAAAGAAAGCCTTTGCGTCTCTGCAAGAGTGAAGAAAAGTTTGTCTTCAGAGAGCAAAGGACAAAACTGACTTGGTAAAAAGATGCTTTATTTAGATAACACGAACTCTTTTCCTTTGAAGAAATTCACAATGTGTTAAGAAAAATTAGGCCAAATAGTGCTTTGATGGTCCTCCTCCTCCTGTACCTCCTGAAAAAGAAATCTGTTTCTTCCAATTGTGTTAAGAATCTGCCGTGAGTTTGGAGAAGGGAAGAAGCCATTGAAGTTACTCAGGGTTGTTGTTTTGGGGATTGTCTGTTTTGTTGAATATTGTATAATAATTAAAAGTAGAATTTACACCAAAACTCTATCATGGACATGCAGGACAGGTAGCTTTCCCTGCCTGTAGGATAAAATTAAGTGCTTTGGTTTTCCTGAGAAAAAAAAAAAAGCAGACAGGTACCAAAGCTATGTAAAAGGGTGGTTGCTTCCTTTCTTGTCTCCTTTATTTAGAAAAACAGCATAAATTTACAGGGACTACATTGAAGAAACAGGTCTGAGTTTTGTATTTTCCTATGTAGGCTGTGAATATACAAGTAAGTATATTTCTGCATGTGTTTTTATTTGTATATGATTTTATATGTAGAAGTCTGTATCCATATACATATCATAATATGTGCAGTCTTCAACTATACCAAGAAAAGGTAGATAATTGTATTAAGGATTAAAACAATAGGTTATTTTTTAAGTTGGATCAAGCATTACGTTGGGTGGTTCTTCTTACTTGGATTGGATTATCTTCTTCCTGGTGCCTCCGTTTGTCTGTAGAATTTGCTAAATCAAGTACAAAGCATACTTAGATACTTTTAGAACTCAAGAGTAGATAAGGTTTAGCCTTCAAAAATATTTGGTCTGAAGATCTTCACATTGGAAGATCTGGAGAATTAGGGAAGGGCCTCTTTCAGGGCAGTTTTTCAGGCAAACTTAAGTCTTGGTTGTGAAAGCATTATACAATATGTGATTAATTTTCAAACCGAAATAGTTCTGGTGAGGTTTCTTCTTTCAACAAAGTGTAGTATGTGCTTTGTTCTTTGGAAGATCAGACGCAAATGGCGTGTACAACAAGATGGACATTTTACTCAGCGCTGTAGTCACATTTATGGTCACTTTAATGGTGTTTGCTAAATGAGTGTGAATTTAGGCCCTAAGTCAGTACTGGAAGTAGGAGCATGTTGTGTTATTTATTTTTTAAAAAAGCTGCTTTGAGGAAGAAGAGAAGCAGGAAGTTATGTGTATATGATTTCATTGGGAGTTGTGTGAATGCCACTTTTGGTCATGAGTTACGCTCAAGATAAATGCTCACGTGCAATTGGATTTCTATGGTACCCATTTTTCTTCTGGTCACGTCAATGTTTTTTAAGCTGCACAGGCAGGGATTTTTATTACAGGGTCAAAATTGCAATTCACTGAGGTTTTTTTATGCCAACCCTGGATTCTAATTTGGACTCCTGATCACATTGCTGTCTGCTCATACGATAAATAATAGGAGTTGTATTTTTCTGCTGGTCGGTTGTGACATATAAAGACACAGTATATGTCTCTTGAAATTTGTGTTCAGTCCAATTCTGTCTCAAATATACAGTAACTAATTCAAGACTAATAGATCCCCATGTAGGTAAAATGAACTAATTGCATGTCTTCTCCTTAGCTATTTGCAAATAGGAGATGTACTCTGTGACAAACCACAGCATCTTCAGCAATGAGGTTTGTAATGAGACATCGTGTGTGTGCTTTTTCTTCTCATAGGCAAGGCAATTTTCCTGCCATGAATCAGAGTGGTATTATGGGATCCAGCTCCCCCTACACTCAGCCGATGAACAACAGCTCTGGCTTGATGAACCCGCAGGCTCCTCCTTACAGCATGGCACCTAACATGGTGAACAGTTCAACAGGTAATAGTCGGTAACCTTTCAGCAGTGGCCTTCCTCCGTAAATCTGCTTAACGGTACCAGCCCTGGGCTGGTGGCAGAGGGATAGCCTTCTTCCTTCAGTTCATCCCTGTTGGGTAGTTTGGAGTGATTCTAAACTAGGCAAAGGTATAAACATTTTTTTGTACAGTAACTCATGCATTTTTCATTAAGTCCTTTTGCACAGCATGTAAATGGGTACAATGTTTTGAACAGTTCCAGCAACACTCGGACCCAGTTTGAAGCAGGTGTTGACTAGCAAGTATATGTATATTTGGGTGTGTGTGTCTGCAAGAGAGGGAAGGAGAAAAACCTCATCTTTTAAGAGACTGCTATTGCTTTTCGGTGTCTTTACTTCCTAAGATTGCAATTTCAGATATTTTATGTGGTACTGGTTTAAAAAAAGGTATATGCACCTGCTCTGACTTGAAGATGCTGTAAGTTGAGCACTTAAAATAATTATTCTGTTCTGAAAACACAGGCCATATTTACTGTTTCCAAAATTCATGTAACCATATATATGGTTTCTTCACTTACTTATTTAAATATCAGTATATGAAATTTAATCATAGCTTCCTTTTGCAAAAAAACCCAAACATCCTATGTAGCTGCTGGATTTATTCTTCATATCATGACTTGTGAGTTTAGAATTAATTGCAGCTTTGTGTGTGAATATGAAGAGACATGAATATAATTCTGTGCAAATGTGCTTTATAGTCTGTATTCAGCTTGAACTCCTAACAATTATCCTCCATCAAGATAATACTTCAGTAAAGATCAATTCTTTGACTGGGATAGGTTTGGATGGAGTTTCAGTGACCCTGAAGTGAATCTTCCCAAATAATTATTCCAATCATAAAGTTTCTGTGCATGCTTTTTGCTGATTGCGTTAGCCCTTTTTGAAATGCTGGGGGTTTAAAGTTTTTCTGAAAGCTGGATAAGTTGTGCTAAGGTGATTCAATTTAGTTTCTTACTTGTTTTTTTTTCTTTAGAGATGCCTTCGTACTTAAATTGTGTCTTACCAGGAGCCCGTGTTTGAGGTTCTTCCTCTCTGCCCTGCTTAGCTTGTTTCATTCTTTCATCCTTTGCCTCCCTCCCTGTCATTCCTCCCTACCAATTTTATATGTCCCTGCTTCCAGGGCAGAAAGTGGCCACTGTGAGATGCTAGTGTCTAGTTTGTCCAGAGGGTTTATTTCCTCTTCATAGGAACTCCTGAGACACTTAACAGTGCCTTATTTTTCAAGAATATTATGTTAGATTTTGGTTAGCAGAAGAAACAGAAAAGAAGCTGTTAATCAATAAGATTGTTTTTAAAAAATAAAACAAAAAGAAAGAAAATAAAAACCAAAAGAAGGTTTTTTCCAGTGCTGGCTGGGAAGCCATTGGTTAGTCCAGACAGCACACTTCACCATCTGGATGAAGAGGCAAAAGCTATTGAAAAGACCATTAGATAATAGCTTGCTTTTCCCCCACCAGAGCTGTCCCAGGTAATAGTATGTTTTGTTTGTGGAGTTATGTGTTTTGTCTGGCTTGCTGAAATAAAATTACTTCTGAGCATTGAAACTGTGCTATAAATTCTGTTTTGCTATTAGCAGAAGTAATTTTTCCCCCTTTTCCTTTGGCCCCCAGAGCTGCAAAAATAACCAATAGCAAACAGATGGCAGAGTGCCCTGCCTAAGAAGATTTATGTATTCCTAAGGAATAACCAGTTTAAAGGAAGATTCACAGAGGGTTTTTTGTTCAGATAATTCAGCCATTCATTATTTCATACAGTGGAAATCTGTTCAGTGCAAGGCCATTTATCCTAGCAGTCTTTTGTATGGGGTAGTCATACTCTTTTTATTGTGTTATGCATTCTGAAATATTGGATTTTTAATAATTTAAACATTTATCAGGGTTTTTTTTTCTGCCAGTGCATTTGTGAGGTTTTCTTTTGTTCCAGTTTTATTAATTCAAAGATTACCCAATGGGAAGTGAGTATGAGATGAACCAGAGTTCAGCTCACCTCTTTTCCTGTGTGTGAGCAGACACGCATCTAGATTGCGCTGTATTGCTCTATGCAGCCAGCCTCCAGGAGCACACAGACAGGGTTGGTGCAGGGAGAACAAAAAGAGAAAGTGAGGAGTGAATGTACGGTAAGGGGCATGTGCAGCGTGCACATCCTTCTGCTTGGGTCAAAGAAATGAAGGGCTGAGCTCAAGGCAGGTGTAAATACAGAACTTGAAATGATCATGTCTTGGGCTGGGGGAGCACTTCAGGGTCAGCCCTGGCCCTGCATTTGATGAGGTAGAGAACTTGCAGGTGATAACTACTTAGGGGCTTGAAAACAGCATTTTTGGTGACACAAACACCAGTTCGGCTGTCTGGCTCTTGAGCCTTTTTCCCGCTAGCATGTAGTCACACATCTGTTGGATAAAACAGAGTTCAGTCCATGCGTCGGGCCAAAACCAAATGCAACCGAGTGGCTGCTGGTGGAGGCCTTAGTTAACTTGCTCGCATGCACTGAGCATGAACAACGGTGGTTTCAATTAGGTCGATGAAAAACTAAGGCAAGCAATAGGGAGAAGTCGGTTTCTTGGTTGTCTGGGTTTTGGAGAGGGCAGTTGTGTTGCTTGTTTAGAGGGAGGAAGGTAGGTTTTGGTTATATTAATTTTAATCAAATGCACTTTTAGGTTTTACTCTCTAAAATAGAGGAAGATTGCTGATGCTGCTTGGATTGTTTTCATATGGTTTTGGAGCTTCAGTACACCTAAGTATAACACTGGTTTTGCCACACTTCTTATTAGTGTTTATAACTCCTTATTACTAGTTGATCCTTTATATTCTTTAGTTTTTTAATTAATGTCACAATTGAAAGGACAATCATGTTGCAGTTCTGCGTCTTGATACTTCAGCAGTGACTGTGAAACAGATTGCCAGCAGCTTCTGCTGATTTAGAGCAGTTTAGGAACACAGAAATTATGAGATCAAAGTAAATGGATCTTTCTGATAGAGTATCCCTTCTGACAGAGTATGCTATCCGTAACAATACCGAAAGCTTCAAGAAAAGGTGCCAGAATCCCTTCACAATTATGGAACAAACTGCCATTCAGAAAAATTGTCTGATCTCCACTGTCCTTTTGTTATATGACCTCACATTTTAGATTTTTTCCCCTATTTTTTAAATTCAGGCTTTAAAAAATGTAAAAGCAAAGCTACAAAACCCAACAAAAAACTAATAATTTCATGCTGTGAGCCTTGTTAATTCTAGTGAAACTTGTCTTTAAAAGTAAATAATACGGAGTTTGGATCTCACAGATTTCCATGTTGTGTTTCAACAGGAACTGGCACTCAATCTCTGCTACCTCTGGAGGTCCATTAGACTCCTTACTGACACCAGGATCCTTTCCTCATTTCACTACCTCTGTCCTACTGAAACCTTCCGTTTTCTGGGTATTATTATTCCCAACAAATTTTTAACATCATAATACTTTACTTAAAACAGGAAATTCTAGCAAAAGTTATTTGCGCTAAAGGAATTAAAAGGATGCTCTAAAAAACAACACTAAAAATAGATACAACAGTTATCTTCTCATATATATTATATATATTTGACTTTGTATTTATTTGGATGAACCTGTGATAGGGAAAGCAATTGTAATTTATGAATGTGAAGCATTTTTTAGAAATCTTAATTGATTTTCTCTGTTTTGAAGCTTGGTTACATTTTTATTTTTCGGAAAAATGGAAACCTCCATTTATTTCACTGGTTTATTTTTTGCTCTAACACATACCTTCGTATGAGCCATTACATAATGCACATTTAAATAACCTCTCTGGAGGATGTCAGCAGTTGGCAACAGCTGAATTATCCTATCACCTATACTCCAAACACGTGATGACCGTAACCTGATGGTTATTGTATGACTGTAAGTCAAGCCAGCTCCTGGCATAGAGATGCCCACGTCCCAAACCGCATGCACTTGTCATCCTTCGGATGACGCTTGGTAGGCAGAGAAGAGGTGTGGTGCTGAGATCCTTGGTGGCCCACTCGTCCTTTTCAGATAAGGTGCTTTTCTGCAGAGGGGGAGAGTTATTCATGGCAGGACATTAAGCAATGCTGTTGTCCGTCTTCTGTTTTTCCTGTGGACATAAAAGCAGTGGGGATCCTCTTGCCAACTCCATGAGTCACAAATTTGCTGCTTTTTCTTTTTTTCTTTTTTTTTTTTTTTTTCCAGAGAGAGAGTGCTAGGACTAGGAGGGAGGAAGGAATGTCTTGCGAAGGATGTAATATTCTGTTTTGTAGAGTGTGGTTTGTTATTGCACTAGCAATAAAGAGGAAAACACTACCTGTGTATTGCTGCTCCTGCAGTATTTCATCTTCTGGGACTGACAGGGCAGCCTTTAGCAAAAAAAAACCACTTTGCTGCAGTCATAGTCATACTCGTGTCAGTGTCTGCCTTTGAGTACATTAAATTCAGTGTGGAATAGTTAATTCAGGACCTTGACCCATACTTGCTTTTTGAAATCATTCTCTCTCTTAAATTCTTATAATAAGCCAGAGGCTAGTACTTGAAACCTATTCACAGTACGCTACAACACTTTCTGAGTCAAGACTTCCCTGTTATCCTCCTCTCTAAAATGTTTTATCCTTTGGTCTGCACTTCACACGCAGAATTAGTAGCACCTGTGTAGAAAGAGACCGTGTCTTATTTTAGCAGTTACGTGACAATAACAGTATTTCGCTGCTCAGAAAGGGTCAAAACAATGTTCCCACTGAACTGCTTTGCTGAAAAAAGTGAAGGAATGTCTGTTTGCAAATCGCTGGAGAGTATGTTTGCAAGAAGTTATGAAACAGCATTGCAACAGTGGATGGAAAAGTAGCTATGGAAACATCTTAGGAAAAGCTGTAGACAGCTAGGCAACCCTACAATTTACTAGTAAAACCCTTGCAGTTCTCCTCTTACAGGTAGAAAGAAAGGATGTAGGTAAAGGAAATAATTTAGAACAAAAAGTAAAACTGAATTTGGGAAATGGGGGTTTTTTTTCGTAATTGTCTCCAACTCTGCTGATAGTTAAATTTGTGCATGCCAACAAGAAATTCAACAGCCAGAATGAATCCATATTTTCACATTTCTAAACATGATTAATACAGTGAGAATATGTGTGGTAATTTGCAGACTAGAGTTACTTGCTCTTTACATGAGGTGTTAAACCTCTCTGCAAAAGAGAAGGAATTCTGATGGAAGCAGGACTGTCAGGAGTGGTCACAATTATTATATTCTTTGTAATAGAAATACAGTGTGCCAACCTAGATAACAGTGAGATATCAGCAGAGGATTTAGCCATGCAGAATTCTGGTGAAGAAGCGTGATTGTAAACTTTGCTTTGCTTGACCTTTCTAAAATTGATTTAAAGGGGAAGGGTCATCTTTGGTTGCTTTGAAACTAAAACTTAAGACTTCTTTTTTAGCATTTTCACAGCATGAAATGTGTGAACTGTCAAATGGCTTTTGTATAACAGTTCTGCATCCCAGTTTGAAACCAGACTGTGGCATACATTTGACCATTTGTACATATATTTTTTAAAAATCTCTGAAAGAAAAATAAGTGGAATTCAAAACTAAAATGTGTTAGGCTGCCATCCTTCACTTCATAATGGTTGCAAGCTGCCCCAACTCTTCAACAGAGTATAAGGGCAAAATGCATACAAATCAAATGTTTAGTGGATGCTGGTTTCCCAGTATCATATTGCTTGGCTGTTTTGTTGAGGTTTCACACACATACATAAAAATAACAGCATTTTTAGCTGATCCAAATAGATTTTTCTCTGCAGCTGCATCACTTGAAAAAGGCTTTTTGTTCCAATTCTTGAAGTCTTAAGTATTGCAAGTAATTTTTTTTTTTAAATCTCAATTATGATTTATGTGTTGTGATGACTTTAAGGGCTTGATTGGGCTACAAATGTGCTTTGAAAAAACAAGAAAATGTGCCCATGAAAAACACCGGCAGTTCAGAGCTGAATATTGAGCATACAGTTGTAAACTCACATGGCACATGGCTGGGTAGGTTTTTTTGGCAGACCCGTAGTCTCAACCTGCAGTGATGCTAAAGATATTAGCAAATTAGCACTGCAAAGCTTGCCAGCATATTCGCCAGAGTCCTGCTCATGATCTCACTGCTGTAATTAAAACTAATTATTTTCTAAAACATAGTAATACATGAATATGTGCAATAATCATTTTGTAATGGGCAATCTGTGAAGTATTTTTAAAGCTTCTTTTCCCCTTCCTCTCTTTGGCTTGCTATGCAGTGTGCCTGCTGCCTAGTGCAAGCCAGCATTGTCATTTTGCAGAGGGGCACACTAGTCCGGCAATGAACAGATCTTTTTTTTTTTTTTTAACAGTGATGCTTTGACGATTCTTAAAATTTGTAAGTTTGGAATATGTTTTTTTTTTCTTTTTCATTGCCTCGTAGGTTATTCTATCCTATGTTTTTCTTATCTCAGATCCTTCTTTGAAAGGGCATGAGAGAGAGAAAAAAGGGAAAAGAGGGAAGATAATCCAGGCATTCGTAAATGCTGTGCACATGGTTTTCTGCAGGAGAAGAATCACCTGGTGTCTTGGTGTTGTTCTCTGGTTATTTGCATTGGTTCAGTGTCATGGCACCTCCTAGGAGCTGCTCTGCCCAGTATTTTCTGTCTATTTATCTGAATGTTCTACTTGCATCTTTCTGGAAATCCAGAAACCCAGCAGCTCTGCAGCAATAATATTATACTTAGCACTTGCATCTTCAAATAAAAAAGCCTCTTGAACTCCTTGCACCCCAGGGAAGCAACTACATGCCATTATCAGAGAAAGACATTTGCGCATTCGTTGTAGTCCCACCTCATTTTGGCAGGAGGGGAAGAAGCTGAGTGCCGGTTCTCCAACAGAATAGAGTTTACAGCTTGTAATTTTGTAGTTAAGGCTCACAACAGCTGCGCCATTCATACTGAAGTCAGTAGGGGCAGGAATTATCTGCTGGACACCAACCTTAATATAGACATAATTGGGAAATTCAGCCTTTTCCTCGAATTCAACTTTGCCAGCAAAATGCGCCTCATTTTTATTTACATCTGTCTGGTGCTAAAGGGAAGGTGCAGTAGTTATTAAAATAGGCTGTTGTTCTGTTAAAATGTCATGGTCAAATGTGGAGACAGTTGAAAACCGCCAGCAGCAGGAAGAATGAATTTTACTTCTTAAAGTGTTTATTACTGTTGCCTGGTGCTTGTATTCTTCCCTCATTCATTCTGTATTATTTCCTCAATTCTACTGAAGAGTTTTCCAGGTTTCCGGACGCAAGAATAAGAAGACAGAGGTGGGATAGCCTCTGCTTCATGTGTCACCGCATTCTTGCAGCAGGAAGTGTTTTTTTCCTACAAAACCAAACATAGTCATGCTTAACTGTTTCTCCTGTTTTCGATTAGCACCTATGGGTCTTGCAGATATGATGACAACCGGTGAGTCCAAACTACCACTTCCTCTCAAAGCAGATGGCAAAGAAGAAGGACCCGCACAACCCGAGAGCAAGTCAAAGGTACTTACTACCTCCACACGTGGTGTTGGTTTAGCCTGCAGAAGTCTGCTATGTTGTCCTTCATCTTCTGGTTTTGGCCTACCCACTTCTGTTCTTTCCTGCATGCCTTTCCATTCACGTGCAATCTGTTTGTTTCTTTTAATTTTTTCTTCTTTTTCCTTCATTGTGTGGATCTGAAAGTTACTAGTTCTTACGGCATTTTAACTTGCGGGGGCAAAGCAACCCAAGCCAAAAGTTGCGTGGGGATTCGGCTGTGCCAGGTGGGTGGGAAAGAAGGGTCTTGCCTGGTTTCAATACTCGCAGCCATTTTTCTCTGCCTTCAGTTATAGCTTCCTGTTTTGGCCGCCTCAGCAGCAGCAACATACTTTAATATTTTGCTTTCCTGCCTTATTTGATAAAATAAGGTGAACAGCTTGTTTTTTTCTTTCTTTCATAAGGGGAAACCCATGCTTAGCATTCCATGTGAGCTTGAAATAAGCATGGTGGCTTAGCGACTTTAGCCAAGCATCCAGCAAACTTTCCAAATTATACTAATTAACAATGTTGTTTTAATACCTTTTATCTATATATATAAATATATTTATATATGTGTGTGTTTTCTGTATGTTGTCTCTCTGTTTATATATATTTTATATATAAAAATCGGTCAGTCTGTTAAACTGGATGTATTTTTTTGTTTTTAATAAAGTTTTCCCTGCCTTTGTCATATTATTATTTTTTTTTTATTCCTCTACCACAGGATAGCTACAGCTCTCAGGGTATTTCTCAGCCCCCAACCCCAGGCAACCTGCCAGTCCCTTCCCCAATGTCCCCAAGCTCTGCTAGCATCTCCTCATTTCATGGAGATGAAAGTGATAGCATTAGCAGCCCAGGCTGGCCAAAGACTCCATCAAGCCCTGTAAGTGGCTCTGGTTTTTTTGGGTTTTGTTTATTTTTTTGTAATTGATTATATTTTAATGCTTGCTTGTTTGTTTTGTAAATTCTTTTTCTTCATTATTTATCCACTAAACAGTTTTCTTTCTTGATAACACTGGGTACAAATTCTGCTCTCGGACACATGACTGTAAGTTCCACTGCTGGCTTCAGTGGGGCCTGAGCATGCTTATCCAAGGGCAAAATTTGTCCCAACAGTACTTTGAAATAAGAAAGAGTAAAATTGCGTGCATCATGCAAGTGTGCTGTCTGGTAATACAGCAGTTGTTGTGAAGAAAACATCCTTCCTGTAATGCATCAGCTTCCAAGCATGCCAACTGTGTTGTTAAGGACAATTCCATTTCTGTTCCTGGGCCCAAACTCCTTCACACAACTGACTTCACTCTGGATGCTGCAACTTGTCTTTGCCAGGATTATTTTGGGGGGGGGGGGAAGAAAAAAAAGAAAGAAAAATCTTCTCCCCTATTGACACTAAGATCCATCAAAGTTTAAATTGCAGACTCAGCACCATGAAAAAGCTGCTATATATATTTTTTTTGAAACATTTTTAATTTTGAATTGTGTATTTGGAAATAAAATCATTAGGTTATCAGGGCACAGTCTAAAACAAAATTGTTTCTGATTTGCTTCATTCAGGTATTTTGAAATAACCCAGATAGTGGATAGAAAAAAACCTGATGCATGTACGTTTTTAGAAAACAATTTTTTATATGAATAATGTTTAGTCATTCTCATACAGGTTGTAAAGAAAAACCTGAGAGAGATGTGTGGAGCTAAAAAATAATTTAATCATATATATATATATATACACGGAAAATCTATATACAGCTATAGAAAAGAGAATGCAGGCAAAAGCTGATACAGCCTATGAGGAGCAAATGTCTGCTTGGTCATTTTTTGCTTTGTTTTTTTGAATTAGAAAAATAATGTTGTTCCTCTTTTCTTTCTCTTTACCAAAAGTAATAATGATCATAATTTCTCTCTAGAAAAATATAGAAATATATTATTGTGAGGAATATAAAGGGGTTTTTTTCAATGTTAATGTGTACTTAAATTAGCAACAATTCATTGATAACAGTTTTCACAAAGTGGTATGTTGAAGATTATGTCTCAGGGCAAACAGAGGAAGGCCAATTGGAGGGAGAAAGATCTACTTATCCAAAGCCAGATATCTAGTGAATCCCCTGAGCAAAGGGGCAGCATGGCATGAAATGCACCACCTTAATGTTTTGATGTTAATTTGGCAGCGACTTTGACTCTCAGAAGGCAGCTGGTGTTACTTGTTCCCACAAAGTCTCAACAGCATTTCTGAAAGGCTGGTACCGAAACCTCTTGTTAGTTTTCTTTATAGTAGTGTTTTGGGTATTGCTGGTTTGGGAGGTTTTCTGGAGGAAAGCAAGAAGGAGAGTTATTGCACGGCTGTCTAACACATCGAGATCTTATTTTACAAGACTACCAAATGATAATGCATTCCTGAGCTCATTGCATAAACTGCCTAACAAACCCTAGAGTCATTGTGAACACATGTGGTTCTTCCATGTAAATATGCCAAAGTATAACGTTGGAAAAAATAAACGGAGCAAGTTTGTGCTTTTGGTTTCTTCTGAATGCCCTGCTGTCGAAACAGTGCTGCATCTTTAGCTTCAGTTAGCTTCTTAGTACATAGATGTGGATAAATACAGTGCTTCAGAATGATAGAAAAGTAAGCACTGTAAATTAGCTGATTACTTTTTACCGATGAAGGCCAGTGTATTGGATAACATTATTGACTTCAGCAGCAGCCTGACATGGACTGGAATGATTGATTGCAGGCGTTTCGTTACACTTGAAAACAGCTTGAATTTGTTCATTAAATCCCAAAGCTACTTCTTGTGCTACAACTTCTCCATTCAGCAGAGGATAAAAGCAAGGGTGAATGGTCTGTGATTCGCTTTACAGTATCCCTGTGATCCTACTAAGTAGATCTTCTCTTTTAGCAGTTTGATGTGGAAGTGAGACATGAGAAAATGTGGAGAAGGAATTGTTGAATGTTATGTTTTGAGCGCTTTTTGGGTACATAGGTAAAAGAACACTTCTGCTATGCGAATTTAACATGTAGCGTGCATCCCTGACAGTGGTGAGGTGGCTTTAAAATTCTTAAAAGAGAATTTTCAAGTGTGAATGGGAACTATGCAGGGTCACTACTGTATGAACAAAACAGTAGGTTATAAAAACCCCTAAAGGGTGTGCTGTTCACTGTCCATAGGTACACGTGAACATGACAGTGCATATACCTGAATAGTACTATATCTCCATGGTGCCAGCTGTGAGGAGTCTGCAGAGTCCTTCAGGAGGAAATCTTGATGGAGGATCGTGTCCTGCAAAAGCCTCTGCCAGAGATCAGACTTTGGCAGTTTTTGTTGCCTGTGTATGCACACCTTGTTCTGTAGTAAAATAGGTCTATGTAGTAGTAAGTGTAATACTGGGAAATTCTTCATTGAAGTGGGGGAAGTGAACAGTAGATAGTTCTGTAAATATAGATGCTTAGAGAGAGATATGTACAGAAACACCTGCCCACTGCCTTAATGTGAAGAGAACTTCTGCAGAAATTTGTGTTGCTCTGACAGATTCTGCAGACTCACCATACAAGAGTCTGTGTATAATACAGTTTTAATGGGCGGTAGATACAGTGAAAGTAAAGTATGGGGTTTGACAAATGTAATATGAGAATTGGCTTTGGTATCCGCATGTTTAGATGTGGGTTTTTTAAACATGGCCAGTCATATTATGTAGAAGAGTGCTAGGGATTGAGAGCAGAATAGGATACAACCAAATCAGTAAAGGTATGTGCCACAGGTTTGCACCAGGATTGCTTTATCACCAAAATTGTCAACAGACTTAATGGAAGAAAAGCTCATGATCTGTATTCTTCCAGCATTGCCTGGCATGCGCTCATTTTAGTTAACAATATGCTAATGGGATAATTTTGTAATAAACCCTTATTTTCTGAGGGTTAATATTTACCTATAGGCAAATTTAGGCTTGCCCATGTGGAACAGAAGTTTGTTTGTGTGCAGACTGGGTTGCACACATCTGTCATTTTTGTGTGTTTACATTTATAAAAATAGAGAAGACGAAAAGATCTTTACTCATGAGGAATAGCACTCTTCCCTCCACTGCATTCTTCTAAAGTTAACATTTTATTTTAGAAGAAAATTGCACCCATTTTACAAAGCATGACAACCTGAAAGCTCACACAGTAAGAAACACTTCTTACCTTCTGTAAGCTGTGAAAAGTTTTCAGATTATACTGTCGTTTTAGAGCCTGCTGCCACACTGCTGGAAAGCAGCATCATTTGAGACATATGATAGAGAAACCCAGAATGAAAAAGTCTTAATTGGTTTCCATTCTACTCTGAATCTGATTTGAAAAATAAAATCTTACCATATAAAAATGAAAACGTAAATCTGAACATTCTTAATCGTGAACTGCCATAAAAAGTGAAATAGAAACTATTTTGTTGCTTCATATGTTAGATTATAAGCACATACAAAATTTGCTGGGTAAAAGCTGAAATCTCCTGCTTTCATTTTTGTTAGAGTTCTATGGCATCATAAGTGTCAAATTAAAATTATTGCTGATGAGCAGTAGAGTAACTTTGTTCTTACTGTAGTTGGCAGTGGAGTGGCTCCAGTTTATTCAGCTGTTGAAGCCTATGTGATCATATATCTGTTCTCTACAAAACCAAATTAATAGCAACATGACTTGACTACCTCCCTCTTTCCACTCACCCCCAAAAAAATCTTTGATGAAGTATATCTGTTGAAAAGACTTAAAGTGATTCTCTTAAACACCCAGATACACAGCAAGTGATGCTTAGAGTAAACCGCTTGCCATTACAGAATCGGTTTGTGCTTTCATTGCATAATCTGCAGGACTCGTGTCCAAGTACATTCCTTCCAGCCACTTGGTATTAGTAAAACAAATTCAGCCCCGACTCTGACTTCATCAGGAGTTGTAACACTGCTGAATCTGGCTCAAGTAAATTCAGGCGTGTACCTCATTTCTAATTAAGAAAGGTAATAATATCTATTTGTAGGAAGGACTGCTGTGAAGAAGTTACAGTATCAGGAAGCAAGGCAGAATACTTGAAAGGAGGCTATTTATTTAATTAAAATGAATATCCATTCACTGGAAGGAACAGCAATGGCTCATGGAACTGCTGGGTCACCCCCTTTGACTTCACGTCGCTTTTCTCCTGACTCTTCTCCAGCATTGCTAAGTTTCAGCTAATGGCTGGAGGGAGATACAGAGCCTGTCAGATTTTCCAGGCTAACGTGCAAGATGAATGGTGGCAATGCTTTTAAAATCATGGGATGCTACTCCACTGCATCTTTTATTGAGTGCCAGTCCTCATGTGCGCTGTGCGAGGACATGGACAAAGTGGGTGGTTCTGTAGCATCTGTGGGGTATAGCTAGGGTCTTCACTAGAGATATTCAACTAGAAATAAGTTCCTGTTTACTTCAGAATAGTGCTGTCTCCTGTTCAAAGTAAGGAAAAGGCAAAGGAGGGAAAACTAGATGAGTTTAAAGAAGTGTCTGCTGCAATCAACAACCAAATTTAGACTTTTGCTATACAGACATAAAGGATATGTTTCCTTTCATATATTTGGCTCCTTTCCCAAAGCTTATACCAATCTTTTTCTCTTGTGTTTAATTCCAAACCACTCTCATCTTCCACTGCTGAGCCAATCAGTTCACCTTCTGCAAGCAGGAGGGTCTCCCTGCAGGAGCAGCAGCCCCTCTCTTCTCTCAGATCAGAGGCAGCTCAGATGGGGTGTCATCCATGCACATGTGGCACAGAGCCCAGCTCACAGGGTTATATTGCACAGAAAAGATACAGTGAGAAATTACAGCTTGCGTAGCAGCCTCAGTCCTTTCTGCCATCTCCACATAGAGAAAAGGGCATCAAGATAACATGAGCTTTCATTAGCTGTAAAGCCCAAATAGCGGCAGGAAAACGGGTTCACTCCAGCACCTCTGTCTCGTGAACAGGAATTCTGCTCTTTCCACCTCTTTTCACTTTTCCTGGTGGTGGTTCAGCTCAGATCGCTGTGCATCCCTGGTTTTTCCCAGGTCATAATACCCATTCTCTTTGCAAGGTAAGGACATGTGAGATGTCTGTCTTCTGTCCTCTTTCAAGGGAGGAGAGTAGCAGCTATGGATAAGCGTTATTGGCTCAGGCAGCTAATTGGCAGTTCACCACGTGTATTGCCACCAGTCTCCTTGTACTGTAGGCGCTACTGCTCATCTTGCTTTTTGGCCAGCAGTGGTGTGAAGAGGTAACCGTTTGCAGCTCTCTAAAGAGGGTACTACTCCTCGGTGTACTAGCTTGCCATGATTCTCGCTTTAGGCTACTTTAGTACAATTCCTGCTCCAGAGGAACACTGTCAGGTTTTCTAGCCCCTCTTTGGGGGCAAAAGGGAGAGATTTCGTTTGGTTTTAGGATTGTGTAAACTTGAGTGGGATGATCTTTAATTTCACCCAAATTGTTGCATACAAAGCACTTTGAGACAAGTGGATGAGGAGCACTACCTCTTCCTAAAATTGCATGAGGCAACATCAGAAACTTGCCTTCTGGGATCCAAAGTTCAGATCCATGAAAGAAATATGAAAATGGGGAGTTTGGGCCCTTTATTTAAAAAGCTGAATTTTCCATACATGGACAGAATGTGTTGTTTGTGCCTGAACTAGTAGCCTTCATTCCTGACTGTTGTGTGATAGCTTTAGTTTGTTGGACATCTTCTCTTTTTCAATGTTGTGAGTTTCTTACTTTCTTTTCCCTCCCCTTCCCACCCTTCCCCCAACTCTTTTTTTCTTCTTGCGATTCAGAAGTCAAGTTCCTCTACCACAACTGGAGAGAAGATCACTAAAGTCTATGAGCTAGGAAACGAGCCAGAGCGCAAGATGTGGGTGGATCGGTACCTTACGTTCATGGAGGAGAGGGGCACGCCCGTGGCCAGTCTGCCAGCTGTGGGCAAGAAGCCCCTGGACCTGTTCAGACTCTATGTCTGCGTCAAAGAGATTGGAGGTTTAGCACAGGTGAGAAGTGCTCAAAAGTGAACCTTTTGAAAAGGCAATGTGGCTTTTTTTTTTTTTTTTTTTTAGTTTTCCTGCTGGTTACACTGTTACATTTTCAGCACTGACAACATTTTTGAAAAAAATTGAGTTTCATGCTTTAATATTTGTCTGAAGTTCATTTTCTGCTACATAATTGCCCTAAAACTCTACAGTTTGAATCAAAATTAACCATTGCTATAGACAGATGAAGTTGTTACCTGTTCAGGGGAACCCACTAATGCAGCTGAAAGAAGAAAAGAGGAGAAGGCCATTGGATTAAAGTTATGAGTAAGAAACAGATGGTAGAGTTGAAAGGAAAAGGAGATTTTTAAATCCTTCCCAGACAGGGATATTGCATCCAGAATAAATCAATTCATCTCTCCAGAGAAGTGGCAGATATATATTGTTGAAACATAGTCCTTTGTCCCAAACCTTTAATCTCTGTGCGTCTCTGTACAGTATGTTCATTTCTTAGACACGGACCATGCTTTCCGTGTGTTTGGAAAATGCTTACAGGATATTTCGGGTTGCTTTACAAACTTAATTTAGAAGGAAAAGGTGAATTACTTATTTGAGATGAAGGAAAATGAAAGCAGAAGAGCTGAGAATAAAAAAGTCACAGATGGGAGAGAGCAGCTTTGGTTTGTGTTCCCACCAGTTAACTGGAAGTTTTGCAAAGGGATGTTTGGAAATTATGTTTTGTAAGGATGGTCTGTAAGACTGACCACCACAGAGCAAAACCAAACTTTTCATTGTCTAGCACCATCAAAGGGGAAAGCATGAGAAAATGGTCAGTATTTGCAGCCTTAGATTTGGTATACAAAGTTGTCTGTCCTTGCCTGATGCTTTTACGAAGTATCCCTTGCATATAGGGGATCACTCTGGCTAGGTGCTAGAAGCTACTGTCATGTGCTGAGACCCATAATTTCTGTGGATTTAAGAACATTTGTGGATGTTTAGTGCTCTGCAAGGTGAGGTCTTAAATTTAGCTATGTAGATAAATATGTATATGCAATATTTAATGTAGAATAGATATTTAATGTGTACATAGATATAGTTTTACATTAATTACAAAATCTGAACTCAAAAATACGGCAAACAACTTAGATCCTCAGAAAGAGAGCATATTTTAATAATCTGTGTTGTTTCAAGAAAGAAACGTCCAGCACCAATTAGTACCATTTTCAATGCTATTTTAGTACACCTCACAACATAGGATTTGAGTACTGAATTAAGTCATTGGCCCTTCAAGTCCAGAGGTTTTAGCTATTCTTGTTATTAAAGCAAGGCAGAGAAATCTAATATAGTTCACCTTGCCAGCTGTTAAATGCTGTGTATGGGTAAGAGATGTTATGCTGACATTTTTAGTGATCAGCTCATGCCCCCCAGCATCATAAAGATTTGATTACTTACAGCCCAGAAACTTTATTACAGGTAAATCGTATCATGCAGCTGCTCTGCCTCATACATTGTGCCCATAGTATGACTCTTAGCATGAAAAAATTGAGCTGGGGGGGCAGATGGGGTATTCTAGAGAGCTATTCATGTTTGCTTATTGTGGAAATTTATTTTATTTTGGGACAGTCAGTGTTGGTTTGCAGTGACAGACATTATGCATCACCAAAGAACAGATACTGTTCACTTAGACTGATTTTTGAAAGAGCTTTAGTTAAAATGTGTGTGCTTCAGTACTGGTAAAAAATGACACTGAAAATAAAGTCTCCCGGGTTTGCTGGTGTGCCCACATGAATGATCACCATGTTTATCTCTTTGGGGCTACTGAGAGGTGCAGAGCTTTGCTTACTGAGGTTTGTTTAAACGCATCTGTGTGATGCTCTCCTAAAGAGCTGTTGCTCCAACTGCTGCACGCCACATCTCATGGTTCTGCCCTGAGAGTGACAGGGATGGAGCTGTGCAGCAGTGGTGCCTATTCTCTGTCTAAGTAGTTGCAGTTGATGGGGTCCCAGCATGACCAGACCAGCTGTTGGCGGTCTTCTTTTAAATGCTGATATACTGGCCATTTAGGCATGGGTGTTTCTGTTTGCATCATGCAACGTGTTCATTCTGCACCACTTAGCTGAAAGTCAGTAGTTGCAAAGGGCTGTGTAACTGGATTTCAAGCCTCAACAGGGGCAGTGTACGAAAATCTCATCTCCTTTAACTCCTGGGTTCTTGCAGGATGTACCAGAGAACTAAAAACACTTTGCATAACCAGGCCAACCTGCTTGCTATTAATGCTATCCCCAAAGGGTCTTTGCTGACTGGCAGCAGTTACAGTGTTTAATTAAACACTGAGAGACATGTAAGAAATGTTTCCTTTGCTGGCACGCAGGCTTAGGAACAGTATGGCTAATGATAACCTTTGTAGCTACACAAGTTAAGTTGGAGTCATTAAAATCTCAAGCCTCAGAGCAAGTAGCAGTCATCATGGTGCGCAAGAACCAGGATTCTTCCCCAACAAAAGCTGAGATGCTCAGACGTTTAAAGCCTCTTTATTTCAGTGCTGCCTCCCCTCCTTGGATCACACCTACCAGTTGCACAAGGGGTTGAATGAACTCTGGGGCATCAGATATTACAGCAAAGATACGGGCTGCTATGAGTGGTACAGCTGAGCGAGCCAATGACATCATCCAGGACGACAAATGAACTTCACTGCTGTCACAGATCAGCTGTGTTTGAGGAACTCACGAACAGAGTCTTTCAATATTCTCAGCCATACACTGCAAACAAGAGTGGCAGCAGAGCTGTGCAGTCAGCACTGTAATACAGAGTATTGCTGGACTAGCCCTGTGCATTTGAGGTCTGCCTTAATTAATTAAGGAGCCTCACTTCACTCTGCCTCTCATCTAGCCAAAGGATCATTGATCTGTCCCTGCAAGATGCCCTAAAGTGAAAGGATTTGCACCAGGAATAGGCTGAACTGTTGGACAGCTGGTGGCTATTTTGGAGAAAAATTTATTTTTCATATCAATGCTAAAACACTTCAATTGCAGAATAACGCTGTTATTGCTTTCTAAATTAGTTTTTAGAAGCTGCTTTTTAATTAGAATGGGGTGGGTGTGGGTGGGTGTCGGAGAGAGGGAGAATGAGCATGCGTTTGCTCGGAGATGGATTGCTAGCAGAAGAGCATAGGCCCTGGAAGAGTGCAAGGCATTTAAAAGATGCACCGTGCAGAAGACTCTCCACAAGCAAAGCTTTTTATGTAGCTATCAGCAGGTTCCTTAATGGTTTTATAACTGTAGATACTGCCTATGCATTACTGCGTGTGGGAGTAATGAGCATTAGTTAAAAGAGGGAAAAGTAAACCAAGACATTAAGTGCTCTTTTTTGTGCTTCCCCCCCCCCCTTTTTTTGTCTCCTGACTTAAACAAACCACTTTGCTGCAGACCAATGATCTGCCATTTATTTTGCCAGGTTAATAAAAACAAGAAGTGGCGTGAGCTGGCAACCACCTTGAACGTTGGCACTTCAAGCAGCGCTGCCAGCTCCCTGAAAAAACAATACATTCAGTACCTGTTTGCCTTCGAGTGCAAGATCGAGCGAGGGGAGGAGCCCCCTGCAGAAGTCTTCAGCACTGGAGATACTAAGAAACAACCTAAGATTCAGCCGCCATCTCCTGGTAAGTCAAAAATCTGCAGCCTCTTACACAACCATTTTTTAATGCAAAAGATACTTGCTGCGTAGCAGTTTATATATTTAGAAGCATGTCTTGCTAATGCTGGACAAGCAGCAAAGATAAATAAGTTGTTGTCATCTTGTTTTCAAACTTGGAGCTAGCTCCTGAGTCAAGTCAGATTTAACTCTGGAGGGCCATCCGCAGTTGTGTCTAGTTTGTCATTGCTCACTTGTAACATGCAAAGACGTGTGCGCCAGCATACCCTTAACATTCAGAGTTACGTTGGCAAGGTGAAAAGAACAGCATTCTGCACGGATGTGCTTGAGCTGTAGGACACGAGGCAACCAGTAATAAAAGGAGCACCTGTTTGTCTAACGATCAGATTCTGGTGCTTGCAGTTCCCTTGCTGTGACTCTGAAGCTGCATTTTCAACACAGCTATTGGTCAGTAAAGCTTCAGCTGGAGTCAGGGTGGCAGATCAGGAGGTCTTGGATGGTTGCTCTGACACAGCTCTTGTTGAATGCATGGCAGGTAGAGAGTTGAGAGAGAGTATGGTGTATCCCCAGTGCCAGACCTCGTAGTCTGGAGGCACACTCTCTGGTGTTTTATTGTTAATCCTGCATGTTGGAGAAGTTGTTAGCATCAGTCTCTTTATCTTCTCGTCTGAAAAAAAAGGGAAGTGGAAATGCTTCATTTTGGCTGTTCTTTTTGCATGTACAGTGTGGCATTTGAAACCACACTGTTTTCTTTCTCAATTAATTTGGCTTAAGACTCTCAAGATTGGATAGTCAAGACAGGAAAATTCTTCAGCTGTAACATTTTAAGTACACAGGAAAAGGAATAGTAAGTTTTAGTGTATGATGTTGACTTCTAGACTACTAGACCAGTTGATTTGCTGGTTATTAGGCTTTTCTGACCAATAGAATAATTTTGTTAATACCTACCTTCACAATTCCTGTTAGGCAGACCACCTTCTTTTTTGCACAGAGAATATAATTTCTGGAATGTTTACAGCAGTTTCCTGCGTTAGAAGGCAGCATTAGGAAGGTATTAAATACCTTCATTTCTGTTAGTGAAGTTCACTGGTTGAAAATGGGAAGCTGTGAATCAGGGTCCCAGCAAGCTCTCCAGGCAGTTTGCAGGCTACATGGCTTGGGCTTAAGAATTCCTATTGTGGATACCAGAAAATTGCGAAGACCTCTATAATCATATAATACAGTTCTAGCTTTTACAAAATCATTTGTTGTGATAGCCCTTTGTCAGTACAGAAAACGATAAAGGTGATAAGGCCTACATCTTTTTCAGCCTGATAATGCAGTGTAAGGATTTAGGGGAGTGTTTAGTTAAAATCTCCCTAGGTACGTCTCTTTGTGTAATACCTTAAATATTTCCTCCACCTTGTTAACATCTAGGGTTATCAGGTACCTCAACACTGATTATTTCATAGAGAAGATAACTAGGTTACTTTGCAAGGCAAGTTTAGAAGATGGGGAAAAATACTTGGTACTAGAAGTGAAGCCTACAGTCCAAATGTTTTATCTGTCTGAAATGAGCATAGAGCGTCCTGAATGTGCACTACTGCAAAAATAAAAGATGCTGGACATGCCTGTCACCCCCTGAGAGGCTGGTAAGGGGAGCTGAAACTGTTAGGTTTGTTAAGGAGGATGAAGAGGAAATTCATCTGTTTCTAAAACTAAACAGCAGTACAAAAAACAAAAGAGTATTTTTCTTTCCTCCCTCCTCCCTTACCCTTCTTCCTCCAACACTGCTCTCAGTAGATGGTTTGGGGATGATCACCATAAATTGGCTGAATTTTGAGATGAAGAATTGTTATTTGAATACGTAAACCTGAAACAAAAGTATAGAAATGTCAGAGGTACTGCTTTTAGAGGGTCCTTTAGCATCATGACACTACAGATGAAAATGGCAAAGTCCAAGTTTAAATTTATCATAGCATTCAAGCAAGCTGCCGATGAGGAGAACCGAAACTGTTTTTCTAAAATAAAAACACAGCAGGACATAGAGAGTAGAAGAGGGGGAAGCAAGCAAAGATCTCAAGGTTTGTTTTGTTGGCGAGAAAAGAGCTTGTGTCACTGAATGGACTGCACTTCTGTACGGAGAAAGGCTTTCCCAGTGTGATTCAGCTTTAGTACATGAAATCCCGCTGAGGTATAGATGCTGCAGAGAGTGCAAGCCTGTTCTCTTTAGTAGCTTTTTTCGTTGCTCCTTTTCCTTTAGTATATACCAACATTAACATTTTAACTGCACAAAAGAAGTAGAGTTGTAGATGTACTTTAGATAATCTGTTACTCTTCGGCATTCAGAGGGAACAGGACCCCAATACAAGACCGTAGCCTTCAAAGGTCCTTGTTTTAACCACTAGCCTCTATTGTGCAGTTATCTCAGTGTAGGCAGAGCCACCTCAAAGCCAAATACACTTGCAGAGAACTAGTTACAGTATTAGGGCTGAAGTTAATTCTGATAAAAAAGCAGAGGACCTTGTCTCAGAGGGAAGGGTGCTCATCTTCATGAAACTTCTAAAACTAAATATTTCATTTGCTCATAAAAATATATAGGGAATATATATAAGAATATATAGGGAGTGGCAGCCTTCTTGGTACAGAGGAGAATTCAGTTCCTATGTAGATCTAATTCCCAGGTAGTTGTTACACAAGGTGGGAGCACGTTGACACAGTTTAGAGCAAATGAGTTGTTGCAGGTGTCCCGCATCCAAGGGGTGATTATGTGACTGCCTCACAGATGACCTTTAGAATGCAATCATAGAGGGAACACTGGGAAACACAGTGCAACAAACATAGCTAGGAGATTCCTGTAGAAGAACCCAGTCAGGGAAAGGTTGCGATGTGTAAGTCAAATTTATGGGACTGCAAGGTGATGGTCTGTGTCCATGTGTTAGTCCATTTGCTTGTAGGACTGTATTTGGGATTCTCCCATCACTTCTGTTTTTTACAACATCATTAATAAGGTAAATGGTATGTAAAAGAGTGAATAATTTACTGCTCTGTACAGTGCAATTCAGGAGAGTGTCAGCAATTATAAAGTTGAAAAAAAAAAGAGGGATGGTGGAGCAGCAAAGTGACAGGCTGATTGGCATTGTTCAGCAGAGGTTTGTTTGTGCAGTAGCCAAGGTGTTAGGCGTAGGATTACCTGCCTATTTTAGTAAAAGTTCTGGCTTCATACTACTGTCAGAGCCTCTTCTGTCCTAAAACTTGCAGGGAGGAGTGGGGACCTGAATGTGTTTTAGTGTGGCTTGCGCTGCTCTGAGGCTGTGCAAGTTGGAGACACGCTTGCAATAGGCTGATGCCTTTGTATCACATCTTGAATCTGTCTGGGTCAGATAATGCCGTCAGCAGTGAAGACCAGCAGCAGATGCCTAATGACAGGCTAGCTATTCAAGGAGCCCTGTTGGCTTTATGTCCTGATTGTTGAGTCCGTGCCAAGGTCCATGTCAGCTGTTGACTGCTCTTTCACTGCATAGAAAATCCCTTAGAGAGGCATTGTAGGTCTTCATAAGCATCCTTCTAGGACTCCAATGCTTTCCAGAAGTGGTTGCAAAGACAAAATGCTCTTCCTGTCATGTGTGTTTCATACCGGTGGCCATTGCGCTAAGCACTAATGGGTGCCAGACTACAAATTTCAAAAAAGCAACAGTATGGAGGAGTTATTTCTATTGCTGCACTCTGGCACTGTAAATTCTTAGCTGAAGAGTGCAGGTATGTGTGCACGACTCTCAAAATTACAGACTGAGCAGTTTATCCCATGCTGAATGAACAGTATGGCCACAGTGGTACAGCTGAGGATGCTCCCGAGTAACACTCAGCAGCTGGCCCTGATGTCAGCGGAGATTTCATTACAGCAAACCTGGAAAATCGTGCGCCTGTGCTGGAAAGAGGGAGCAGAGCACGCCAAGAGCGTGTTCCCTGTGTTTCCTTGGCACCAGAGAAACAAGACTTGGGGAGGGGGATGGCGGGGGGGACGCGACACACCAGCACACGACGCAGCCGTTCAATGAGCGCGTCTGTAACCGAACCCATCCGTCTCTGCTGGTGAGAGGCTGACTGAAGTGCTATTATTAGCAGGCAGGTGATGTCATGGAGCGTGTCAGGCCAGCCAGGGAATCCCCACAGAAGAGGGATGGGTGAGGGGTCAGGAGGGGCGGGGGGGGGACAGAGGTGCCCCCACACTTGCACCCACGCCCACCCGGGGGAGCCCTGCTGCAGCCAGCCACCCCCAACCCAGCCTAACTGGGGCACTGGGTTTGTGGTGTGTAAATTATCTTCCCAGCGTGGCGGCTGGCTGTTCACTCTGAAGTATGTGAATGTACTTAACCTTCAGTAACCTCTCCATTGTTTACTTTAGAGTATACATTTGTAGCTTCTGGCAAAAGGTAGGGATATCCTAGAGAGCATGTCGGGCCTCATATTAATGGAGTTTCAAGAGGTTGCATTCTTCTTTTCTTTCTTTTTTTTTTTCCCCCAAAGGGAAAAAAAACTGCTGGCAACAGAAAGATTTTTTTTTTTTTCAACTGCATATTTCTCTTCTGGTAAATAAAGGGTCTTTCCTGAAAGCAGTACTTACTGCCTTGCAGGCTTTGCAAGGAAAAAGCCATGCCGGCGCTGTAATTCCATGCCACCCAGAATAACATGTGCTGTTGAGTGAACTGTGGAAGGGTTTGTAGGACCTCACGTTCTCACTGACAAAGATGTTCTTTTTATTTCATTTTTGATAAATTTGCTATTGTTAAAAGCATATTCTTACAAATCTGTTATGATATTTGAAAGACAAGTGTTGCTTAGATGTGGATGTGAGATGAAGAGTTCGGTAGCTGTGTACACACAGGCTTTTTCCTGGACATCCCTGAGTCAGCTCCAGAGTCATGTAAGCGGAGATTACCTGTTCTAAAAGAACACTGTTGTCTTCTTTCTTAGTTCTTTAATAGTGAAGCTTATGAATCACTTTAAAAGACATGATTTCTATTTCAGGACATCCCCAATCAAAATTAAACATCTACTGTAATAAAAACCCTGCAAGGATAGATGTAAAAATTTCAGAGAGCAGCTTAGCAGACGTAAAATTTAAGGTGAACCATGAAAAAATAAATTTCATGTTCTTTAACTAGAAAACATTCCTAATAGCAATTTGTGCAAAACGTGTGTGTGTGAGAGAACGTAACTAGCTTGCGTTTAACGTGTGTGCATGTAGGCACCTGTGTGCACATGCTATATCAAAAAAACTGTTTAAAGTATATTGCTTTGATGCAAAGTCAAGTGCTGGAAAGTTAGGAAATGCCAAAAGTGAGATATAATCTTTCCAACCTTAATTATGTTTCCTTGTGCATACCCTGTTCAATACTCTCCTAATTAAGCAGTCACATAGACATTTTTTCCATTAAATGTCTGTGTCATTCAATGCATGAAATAAACAGTGCTCCGGGAACGAGGAGCTATTCAGTATTTTGTGTTATCCTCACTTTTCAGTACACAGCCCTTGTGCACAGTTTTCAACTAGACTCAAACAGAGTTACAAATCTACTCGTTGGGTTTTTTTGTCTTCACTACAACTGTATTTGAGGGCTTTAAAAACGATTAATCAGCCTTTGCAATACCCATCTGAGGGGGAAAGTAGCATGATTCCCATTCTGCAGAAGAGGAACTGGGCTACCAAAATTCTACGGCATTAGTATATGCTAATTCTAGGTGCCAATTTTCTTAAGTTTTGCCATGTATAGCCCTATATATGATCTCATCTGTTGCCCTACATGTTCTGCACAGCTGGAAAACAGCACCTCTAAACAGAGTCCCTGAGAAAAGAAACATGCCTGTAAGAACCTCTTGTGCAAAATATAATTTCACTTATATGGCCAGTATTGGACTCTTCGTAGTATTGAACTCTTTGCCTCTTTATCCAGCCACTTATGATTCCTTCCCTATACTTTAACTCTCATTAGGTGTATTTTCTGGGCTTTCTTGGTGTTCCCTGTTGTGTAGTACCATGTCCATGCACCTTGAGACTTTTCAAATTCTAATTTGATCTCAGCAGCATCCGTATCTCCTTTCCAGGCTTCCAGTCCCCTTGTCAGTCTCCTTCTATTCTCCTTTTCTGTTGATGGTCAAAAACCCTATTACCCTGCCTTTGCTTGCCAATCTCCAGTTGTAACCATGAGAGCTTGTGCAGGGTGGCTTCCTGGCTAGAGGTTCTCCTGCTTATCTCCACATTCAAGACTGCCCAGATCAACCCAGGAGCTGAATTACAGTGAGAGTCCTGCTCACCCCCCGTCTGAAATAAGTACAAACAGGATCTTCATAAAACCAAGCAGTGAATGTATAATCTCTACATATGAACAGGTATTTTTCACAAATTTATTTGACCAAATCAGAATAAGCACTTGGAACAGCAAGAGTATTTTCCCTGTCGCAGGCACGTCCCCAGTGTTACCACCAAGTCTCTTCTTCAGGCAATGAAAGCAGCACTGGTGCTGTGTGTGGAGAAGGTGACTAAATATATACGTGGCTTGGAAAACTCACAGAAAAGTATTTCTCTTTTGGGGATAACAGAAGAGGACCATATATTTTTGAAGGCATATTCTTAGAAAAAGCTGTCCAGTTTCAGCAGAAAATTTCCAAAACAGAATTAGCTTGAGGGGAATATCCATCAGGATGCCTTCCTGATGATTGGCTGAAGCTTGGCAAAGGTACTGAAAATCACATCCTACAAGAGAAGGTTAAGTTGCTTAAAAAATTGTACCTGTTCTACCAACAGTAACCATTAAGAGTACGTAGTTACCTTATTCTTTCTCAAGGAATGTGCTATTTATATTTACATTGATGCTATTCCTAAAATATAAATGAACTATTCAGTGGCCTGTGAGTGTATGACATAGAAATAATTGTCCTTGCGGTTACTTGTAGGTCATATCTACACTTGGACTCTTCTTGGTAGCTGATGACCTAATCCAGAGATTGAAACACTTGCATTCTCTGTTCTGTAGAATTGTCCCTGACCCAAGGGAGGTCAAGAGCAAAGTGTATTAACAAAGCAGTGCCAGAAACTTGGCACTTCTCATTATACCATTTGCCTTCCATTTTTTCAGCTATTCATAACCAGTTATTTAGAAAGAGGCGGGGCAAAAATAACCAACGCTATAACCACTGCCCAGCAGACAGAAATTTGACTTGTAGCTTCTCAGTTGGCTATCTTCTTTTTGCTTTTAAACCCTTCCTTATCTAAGCAGATTATATAAAACACATTGTTACTCATAGTAAAGATTCTATATTCATGCAGCCCGTAAATACTGAAAAAAATATTTTACTTGTTTTCTTCAGGCTTACTTTAGATATGAATTAAGTTCATGCTCAGGTAGGATAGGGAAGAACTTAATTGCTGCTGAATAGCCCACCATAAGAGAAGTATGCAGGGTTAGGCAGTATCATATTTTACAGTAAGTATATGGGTACACTAAGATGTTTACTTACATGGTTCTAATATAACAAGACAATGTGTTGCTTAACTCAGAAATGCTTTCAAGCTTTGTAGAAGTAGTCTGGAATTGTGTTTAAAGCTCAAGGGCAGGAGAATGATCCTGGCTTACTCAGGGGTCATATATACAAAGGGCTTATTTTATATGAACGTGATGATTTTATTTTTTTTTATCATATGGATTTGTTTTATTATAGCACTGAAGCCTTCAGTCAACTGTAGCATTGGTTGTTGCCAATGTTGTTGTTACTGTATTAATGGGATGAGAGCTTTTCTTGAACTTTTTTGGAACCTCGTTACTATGTGAGCATAATCCAAACATGCCTCAGAAAGCTGAGGGCAAGAACAATGTGATGTATGCAGTGTGGATTTTACATATGCACTTGCTGCTGAGACTGATTTCCAGATAGGGGAACATGTGTTACAGATATAAATGAAACACATATAATAAAGGTGTTCTTCAGTTAAAAACAAGCTCTGCCTGTCAAGATGATGAGTGTTCTAGGATTCTGAGTCAATTATAAACTATTCGCTCTTTCACTTATGGAAGAAAAGCCCATACTGCTTGTTCCAGTTTTTCCTCTAACAGTAATTTATAAAGTTTCATTAGTTGGTTGTTGAATGTATTCAGGCACTATAAAAAAGCTTACATGATAGTTCATAAAAAAGAAGGACCTCTCAAGCCACAGCCACATCTTTCTGAGTTAGATTTGTTAATTTTTCCTGCTGGTGGTTTTTTTTTCCCAATTGTATCTAAGGATTTGAATCCTACAAGTTGTCCTTGGGTAGAATTCCTGCAAAATCAGATCCAATGTATGATGTATTCATTCAATGCCTTTATTACTGCTCAGTCTCATCGGAATAGAACATTACGTGTTTTTCTGCATTCCCTGTCATATCAAGAATATAGCTATTTACCACGGCTAAGGAACACAGTAGTGCAGGTACTCTGTTGCTTCCTGAGATCTCAACACAGAAGTTTTTGCAGATGAAATAGATGCTTTGCAGAATTGACCTGGTCTTGTACGTGTGCTCTACGATGACCCTAACTACATTTTGTTAAGACATTCATTGCTATTTTTGCAATTTTATTAGGTGTTTTAGCCATGGCCTCCTGTTCAAAGTCTGCTTTCAGTGATCACTTTCTTCTTATGCCGGATTGTCTTTTGGATTTCTTAAATACAATCTTTTGCCATGCTGTGTCAAAGATGCATAGGGTTGTGTCCTGGGTTAAGCTGAGACATGGAAATGTCTGCCTTTTAGTGATAAATGAAATTATGAATTTATATTAATATAGCAGCTTAAATTTGTGAGGAAAAGCTTCTGGATGAAATGTGCCTGATAAACGTATGTGTTGCGGTAGTGATTATATAAAGAAGCTGTGCCAAAAAAACAACCTTCATTTGCTCTGTTGTAAACTATAGACAGTTAACTTTGTATCTCTGACCTCTGATTTAAATGATCCTTCTTCTAGATGATTTCTATTCCTGTTGTTTCAGGCAGCAGATTAAATTCATGGTTCTAGGAAAGATGACAGCTATTACTGCACAGCATATCCTGATCTCAGGATTTTTGGGAAGTTATAAAGTACTGAAATGCATGGTATAAACAGGCTTATGGGGGAAAGAACCAATTTCTCTCCTTGATAATTCATATTTCCACAGGAATTTGGCTGCTACCTTTTAATATTTCCCTTTTCTTTAATTTCCCAGCTAATTCTGGTTCCTTGCAAGGCCCGCAGACTCCACAGTCCACTGGTAGTAATTCCATGACAGAAGTGCCAGGCGATTTGAAGCCCCCAACACCAGCATCAACACCTCATGGACAGATGACACCTATGCAGGGTGGCAGGTATGAAAAGGGCTTTGCTTCATTTTTTGTTGGGCTGTAGTTCTACAACAGTTTAAGTCAGTCATTCTCTTTCCCAACTGCTCAGGCACTCAATCTGATTCTGTGGTGAACCAGTCAGAGCCTTAAAAGTGGCAGAAAATAATTTCTTGTTTGAGAGGAGAGAAGAAGTAGGAGCTGCATTCACTTTCTGAACACCAGGGAAGGATCAGACAAGCACCAGTGCAAAGGGAAGCATATGAATAAGTGAAGGGTGGGGAGGAAGATGGAACTCGGCAGCACCAACTTAGAACCACAGCCTTCCTTTCCTTGCTTACCCTGTCCTCCTCTGGCATAAAGGTCCAGACATTGATGCTCAGGAAGGAGGAATTCAAACTGGAATGGGTTCTAGAGAAATATTGGTGGGATGATGAGGGAACATGGGGATAAAAGAGCTTGTTCAGCTTTGCTTAGGTTGTTTCTAAGTAATAGAAAAGTGTGGATCTAGAGTGCTCTTCTAATAAATACAATGGAGTAAAAATCTATGTGGTTTTAAGATGTTACTTAAATTCAGTTTATGAAAAGCGTGTATAATAACAGTGGTTAAGTGACATAGCAGAGGATTCAACTGGATAGACCAAGAGATTCATTTCAGTTCTGTGTCCTGTAAATCTCACAGACCAGCTTAATCTGAAGTGAAGCCTTCTCACCATTCATTAAGGATCCTTAGCCCACTGAAGTCCAGCAAAAAGAATTTTTATTGAAAAAAAAAGTTCTGAGCTATGTACAGAGTCACTCCAAACTCAACATACTGAGGTTCTTTTTTTTCTTCATCTGTAATAGTGCAGAAAGGATAACAAGAACCTTTTTTAATAATCTGTAGTTCAAATTGAGTTTTCTTCCACTATGTAAAAAATGTTCTTTTCCATTAAGATATCAGGGAAACTCCATTTTTCAAGCCAAATTTTTAAAGGCTTTAGAGTAAACCTGACTGCAACCATAAAGGTTAGTGCCTCTCCATCACAGTAAAGGGTATTTGGGAGGTAAATCAAGTGTTGCTGTTTAGTCTTTCCTCTAGTAGGAGAGCAATGGGGTGCTTGGTAAATTTGAAAGGTAATAAATATGAAACTGATAAAAAGTAATACTGTTTTGCCACAGCATATAATAAACCTGTGGAGCTCACTGCCTTGGGGTAGTGAGGCAAAGAGATTAGTGAAATTTCAGAAAGGTTTAGACTTTTATATATATGAGTAACAGGAACACGCACAGCTGAATTAGATTAAAAAACCTGATCTTTAAGGTAAGTAGCCAGATAAGCTTAGGGAAGAAAATTGGTCGATTTTTTTAAATGACTGTCCATTGTGAAAGTTTCTTCCTCGTCCTCAGATGTATCCTGCACTGTCACCGCATCGTGGGCTATGTGTATTGTAGTCCAGTCTGTCTTCACCACTCTTATGAATACATGATGATGTTAATGCCTCCTTTTCCTCATCTGCTAGAAACAGCGCAGTTAGTGTGCATGATCCCTTTTCTGATGTAAGTGATTCAGCATTCCCGAAGCGAAACTCCATGACGCCAAATGCACCATACCAGCAGGGAATAAACATGCCAGACATGATGGGAAGGATGCCATACGAGCCGAATAAAGATCCTTTCGGCGGAATGAGAAAAGGTATTTTCTTTGTGGGAGTTTAAGCATTCTTCCTTACTTCTATGCAATCAAGGTGTTCTAGTCGTCAGAATGAGCGTTTTTACTTTGCTAATTTTGCCACTGGTAAAATGGTATCCTTGTAGCAAAAAAAAAGAAGTGCAGCGCAATTGTGTTTCATTCTGGTCTGGTTATATTTTTCTTTTTCAAAGCCGCACTGTTTATTTTAGACTTTACAGAATCCTAAAAATGCTTGCAGGAATACCTTTCAGGAAGTGGCATAGATTCATAAGGTTACATTTTGTGCAACGCTGTGTTTCTTGAAGGTGGTAGCTACTCTGAAAATCAAATACTGGACTTAGGTGTTAGATGTGAAGTGCTGAAGCAACATGCCTGGTTGTAGTAGGGCTGAACTGGGAATTCACTGTGCGGAACTGAGCAAATCTCCTAATACTCTCTGTCTCAGTTTACATATTTTTCAGAATAGGAAAGCTAATTTTTTTCTTACTTGGACAGCCCCTTGCAAAAGGTGATAAACACAGTCAAAACTTGTTTATTTTTAGAAAGCAAAAATTAAAATTAACGTCAAAGCTGACTCTTGTGCTTTTGGGCACTTAACCTACAGATGGTTTTGTGGATATCGTAAAATGTGCTTAAAATTAATCAATCCTGCATGGCTTGTGTATAGAAAAGTGGGAGGAAAGAAGACAAGCAGGGCTCACAATGGCTGCAAAGAGAAGAGCAGATGGAGGAGGTGAAATTAAGAAAGTGGAAACTGAAAGGGAGCAAAAGGAAGGAATGGGAAGAAGAGATCCAGAAATCGGGGGAAGAATGCACATGATGAAGTGGGGAGATGCTTTAAAAGAGATAGTTCTGGTGTGATTTTTTTTAAACCTTCCCTTTAATCCTTTTGCCTAGACTGTAGACACTAGCATAGCACTGTTGGAGGAAGGGAGAACCCTCTCTGCCTTAGATTCACTTTAGGTCTTACATCCATGTGAGATTAAGTGGGTTTATTGCACTTTGTCGTACATTTCACATTTATCCTGTCAAAACAGAAATGTCTCTGTTCAGCATCTACTATGAGGGACTAAAGGATGGAGTCTCTTCCTCTGTTTGCTTGGGCACTTACATCCAATATTAGTGGTCAGTGTGCTTTTTCTTGGACCTGTAGAATATGCACATCCTGCTTGAGAAGCTACAGTAGCATACAGTATCCTTTCCATAACTAAATCATGGTATACATGTGTGTAGGAGAGCTTTATGGGAAAAAGAAGAGTCTGATTCTGACAGCTTTTTAGTCCAAACTAGGAGATTTGCTTTCATCTGTTTTGTAAGGTTTATGTTTGCATTCATATTTGGCATTGTTTGGGGTGAAAAGAACAAGATCGGGTTCATCTTCAGCTATGAAGATCACAGGGAAGAAGCTGCCTGGTGCCTGAGAAGCTCAGTTCCATAGGATGAGATTAGTTTCCTTGCTTGCAGCTCCTTAATATTATAACCGTCATCTTGGTAGTGGTGCTGCTTCATGTGTTTTCATCAGACCCTGGAGAGCTTGTCAGACACCAGCTAATTCTCCTTGGCAGTGTTAGGGATCTGAACATTATTTTAAAATACATCATTTAACAAAAAGATACCTTCAAACACCCAGAATAATATATTTCGTTTCCCTTACTGTTGCAGTGCCTGGAAGCAATGAGCCTTTCATGACCCCTGGACAAATGCCTAACAGTGGAATACAAGATATGTATAACCAGAGTCCATCTGGAGCAATGTCCAATATGAGCATGAGCCAGCGACAGCAGTTCTCGTATGGAAGTGGCTATGACAGGAGGTGAGTCAATCTTCAGGAAAAGCCAAAGCTCGTTAGTGAAAATGATCCTCTCTCTCCCCCTCTCATTTTCCCATTGCACCTTACAGAGAACATAGCAGCCTTTATTTCCTGCAGCATCTTACTAAATCACTGGGAGTCAAAACACTGGTCATGACTGAGTCTAGCTGTTCTCAGAAATGAATAAGGAGGAATTGTCACACCTTAGAAGTCACTCAAGATGCAGCAGATCAGCACATGGGTGTGTTTGACAGCTGCCTTCAGCTGGCAGCTGGGCTGGGCTGTGGTGGTATAAAGTTGCACTTGAGTTAGTCTTCTGGACATGTTTTCACCTAAACAGTTGTTGGTGGGCTTTTTATGAAAAACAAAGTGCACAGCCTAAATATGTCTGGTCTGCGGTCTGTTAGTGAATTGCCTTTGGAGAGTCTGGAGTCTGTTGTCTGAGATGTAGGGGCACCAGTCTTGCAGTGTGTCCATCAAGACCCTCATAGCGTCTTTCAGTGGAGTACACAACATAAATTTGGTCGTCTTTTGTTTATCCCAGGAAAGGCTTTGGGGAAAAAAAAAATCAGTAAAATCACTGATATCCAAGCACTGGTATAGCAAGCAGAATGGTTTGGAAATGTTAGGATTATATTAAGTATTCTGGTAGGTTTTGCAGTTCTGGCTGTATTTCTGCTTTTACTTTTGTTAGGCTGTGTACCTTAGCTTCACTTTTTGTTTCCTAACAGTAGCCAAAGTGGTACAGTGTGGGTCTTTTTAAGTGTAACAGTGCAGTAGTTTTCAGTCAGTAGTTTGAAGTAGTAGATGTGTACAGTAACGCAAGTGTAATGCCATTGTTCAACAGGTCACATTGGTGGGGAGTCAGTGAGAGTAAGGGTTCCAGTGGAAGGTGATACGAGAATGTTTTCTTTAGGGGGTGTGTTTTGTTTTATTTTGTTGGCAATTTGGAGAATAAGTGCTTTTTACAGAATGAGGTTTCCTTTGTCATTTTTTAGGTCGGATCATGGGCTGGGTCCTGAAGGCAGTATGGGACCACCTGGTCAAAGCAACATGGTGCCTTCAAACAGTGACCCAAGCATGTACTCTCCTAATCGTTACCCTGGCCAGCAAAGGTGAACACTTGATTTCTTGGTTTGTAACATCTGCAATAACCAACCAGCTAATGAGTGCTAGCAGCCTCTGTGAGAGCACCTAGACAGACTATGTGGCCTCTTGGCGTGTTACTTCTGTTATATCTGTTCTTATGTAGGCTTTTACCATTGGTTCAGTTTCTTGGGGGGGCCAGGGGCTTGGGAGAATTGATTGACTTTGTGGCCATAGAATCAGAGATGTTAGAAAAGGAGTGTACATCCTACCTTGTATATCTCCCTGCCAACAACAAACGAGAACATATTTTATAGGCCCAAGTTCTCCAGAGCAGCATTAAATGACACCAGTTCTGAAGCTTCCACAACTTCACCTGGTTTGTGGTTATCCTGTGGCTAACAAATTGAACATTTAGGAAGTGTTCCCTTATGTATAACATATATGCACCTTTGCTCAGATTTATCTTATTGCATGTACCATCTTGGACAATTGTAGACAATTCCCATCAGTTATATTGTTCTTCTGTCATTAGGTAATTTCTCTCCATTCACGTCATCATTTTAGGGGATACTGAACAGCTGTTGCGTTCACTCTGGTCAACTCTCCAAAAATGTGACTTTTCTGTGCTTTTGGAAAAATTAGGTCCCATTAGTTCTTTTAACATGTCAGAGTCCCCAATACTCTGTTTCTCTGACTCTCCCTGATGTATTACTTCCATAATTATACCCGAATTGTAGATGTGTTCTCACTGGTAGTGTACAGAGTGGAATTATTGACATATTGGTCTGTAATACGCCGTTATTTATCAGTCTTAATACTTTCCAAGCACTTTTCAGCAACCTAAATTTAATTCAGATGTGCTAAAAATATTGCAGTTGCACTGTAGTGCTCCTCAGAGGTCTTAAAGGCCACAGGTAAGTTTCCAGGTGCAACACAACTCTGCCTCTTGTGTGTATGCTTCCTTATGTAGCTTTAATTGACAATTATGTGAACATTAGCAAAATTATGAGTACTGTTCTTACTCAGTAATGATGTATTTAAATGTTACATATTGTAATGAAATTTGTACTCACTTTCTGTCACTATCATCAGACTAAAATCACAATTTAACTTTGAATTGGCAGTTAAGTATTGATTATATTCGGAAAGTAGATTGCTTGGAGGCTGACTTCTTAAAACACTAAAATTTTGACTTGCAATGCTTGAACTGTAGATCAGATACTTCTCCACCTAAGATGGGTTCCCAGCACCTGCAGCTGCCTCTGTTACCTCTTTGCTGACCTTACCCTGTTCCCATTCCTGACTGCTACCTCTGAATCTCTCTGTTGCATCTTCACAGCTCCTCCTCTCTTCTTACTGCTTTATCTCCTTCCTTCCACTACCAGCTCCAGCAGAGCTTACTACATCAGTCTCAGGACCATACCACACTGTACCTTCACCTTGTTTCACCTTGTTTCCAAATGGCAGATGTCTGCAAGGTGCAAGATCATCAGAGTATTTTGCTTTTCTGGTGGCTTGGAAATTCCAGCAACTCTTAAGTGTTGATTTGAATGCTTCATTTTAGGCATGAACCATATGGGCAGCAGTATCCAGGACAAGGACCTCCCTCAGGACAGCCACCATATGGAGGACATCAGCCTGGGATGTATCCACAGCAGCAGGTAGGAGAGGGGAAAATAACTATATTCATAACATTTGTTTAATAAATGTCACCCCAAAATTCTGTATACATTCAAAAAATTGTTTATACAATATAAGTCTTTTGGCACAGTGGAGCACTGTGGTTCACAGCCCATATGGATAAGCAGTGTATGTGCAGCTATAGGAAAATGTATTCATTACACAGGAAGAGTGTAAATTTTAACAGATGTTCTGTGGTTTTGGATGTGTATCAAGTGATTGTCCCAAGTTAATAACCAGCAGACTGGGAAAGTATAATTCGTAGGCTAGTAAAGTGATGCTGCCTCAATTCCAGAAACAAACAGGAAAGCTGCTTGTCTGGCAGGTTGAAGGGCCTTAATTTCATGTCATGTAGCCAAGTGAACCCAACAGAAAACTGGAACAAAGTGAAGCATGCAGCACACTCAGTTATTTAGAATGCTGTGGTGGGTCATATGGGATACCTGTCTTTAATATAGATCAGATGGCATATGTTATCTCTAGTAATAATATGGTAAAAGTACATGAGAGAGAAGATTATTAGTGTTAAAAAGAGTTCAAAAATTTGTACATTCCAGTCTCCCTAACTGTGTAATAACTTTGAAAATACAAATTATATTAATTAATAAGATCTTTTTGTTAAGTGTATCATTAATATCTTGTGGGCAAAATCCCATCTTATAAGTCAATAGCAAAACTCCACTGCCTTCAACAGGATGAGAGTTTCATCCTGCATGTTATTAATTCATTCTTAGTCATACAATAATTAAAGTTGAAGTTAGCTTCCAAAATAGAAAGCGTGTCCTTATAATATAAAAATTAAAATGTAAGCTATTTTTCAGCCAATTTCAGATAGTCTTTTTCAGTTTGGGATAGAATTTTACTAGGAAATTTGAGGGGACTGAGGGGGGGCGGGCGGGGCTAAAATAAGAGATCTTAGGTTGCACTATACTGAAAAGGTATATAAATTTCAATTTCAGAATTTCTTGCTTATCTGTTTTGTTCATAACCTCTCTAAAATAGCATAATCAAAAAACCTGGTTTTTTGTTCTTTATGATGAGCATATGCTAGCAGTCTAGGTGATTTAGTGGGGGAATTGAAAAGATATATAACAGAACAGTCTGTGATACTCCATGCTAACATATGCGGGGAATATATTAACTACACATTTGTCTAAGCAAGGAGACAGGTAGAATTTGTAAAAATATATTTGGCCTTGTCCTTAGAGCTGTTTAGATGCTTTGTACAATGACTCGTGAATCCAAAATGCATTAATGCAAAAAAGCAGTGAAGAATGAAGGGCAAGAATCCTGGCCTTGGCCTCGGCCTCTCCATCCTACTCGCAGAGGCTTCCACTTCTTCATTTAGCTAGAGATCAGGTTGCCACTAGCTTATTTTCAACTTCCTAAATCTCACTCTGTAGTGGTACAGGAGGAATGTGAAAAATGGCCCTTTCAAAGCTTTATCTACAACCTGAAGGCTAGGGAATGATATGGGAAGGAGGTGCTTGGAGCACAAACTCTTGGGGCTAATGAAGCACCTTAAATAAGGTTTTTCAATTCCTGTATGAATGCTCATACCCCAAGAGCTATTATGCAGAAGGTGACCTGTGTTAGTGTCTTTTTGTCTTCTGCAAAGTCTCAGAATTCCACATCCCCAGTAGAGAGACTGGAGGGGGAGTTCAGGTGCTTCACTGTCCTCAGTGCTGGTTACCATTAGGCATGGTGCCACTACATATAGGAGAGCACTGAACTGCTTTTAAAAAGGCACATGCTTCATTCCCAAGCATCTACTTTAAGCACTCTGAGTCACTGTGGCAAAACAAGCACCACCTTCTTAGGTATGACAACTGAAAAGTCAGCTCTTAATGTATAAATGGGCTCAAGGGTGGAATTTACTGCAGCAAGTAGTTCAGGTACAGCTGAAAATAGGTATTTCTTAGATAGCCAGGCAGCTCTACAGCGAGTTAAAAAAAATATATTTTCATGCAATACAGTAGTTGCAGTTTTATGTGCACCAAAGTTGAAAGATGAGTTTATGAGTCCCAGAGCTGTTTTGACTGACCTGTATTGACCTGTAACTCTAGTACATTAGTATACATTGTGCAATGTGACTGAGCTACAGTTTCTGAGGGAGCCATAACTTTGAATTTTCCATAGACCATATATTCAGAAATCACCCATTTAATTCACATTTTTTGCTTCAGAGCACTCAGTGTGGTTTGAACTATGGAACAAACTCCCACAGGAACTAAGGATGGCTGCAAACCTTACCACCTTCCCCTCAAACTGCAACACGTCTTATTTTGTTCTGCCATCTTAAACATAAATACATACGAGCTTGTATGATTTAGAAAAAACTCAGCTCCCAATGGTAAAATAGTTTACCTCACACAACAGTCCCCGCTTGAGAGGGTGAGAAACAAAGAGGGAATACACCATAGGTGGCAGCTGTTAGTTACATGGCTTAATTCATTACTGATCAGCAGGGCAAGAACGTGCATAAACTAAAACAGAATGTTTGGATGTGACCATTTGCTGTAATAATTGCACAGTAAATTAAGTGTGATTAGGATGATTTGGAAGAGGGATGGTTGCCCAAACAGGACCATGTTCCTGGGAATTACGCAGAGTGGCAAATGCAGCAGAATGCTTTCTCCTGCTAATAAATTTACTATGTGTAGCCTGTGCCCTGTCATCCAGTGTTTCAGACATGCATGCTTGCAACATATCTTGTTATTTTAAGAGTTTATTCAGTGCTTTTCTCTTGAAAAGATTCACTGGGTGGTTTTGAATTTTTCAAAGATTTTTCTTCTTAGTAGACTAAGCAAAAAAAAAAAAAAAAAAAGAAGTGAAAATATTTTAGTTGGTGAGGACTGTTGCCTTCTTATGCATGTGTGAAATGACCAGTGGAATTTAATCTGACAGATAGGAAAGGAAAGGGAAGGGGTGGGAAATGAGAGCAAGAATAAGAAAATTCAGCCCAAGGATAAGGTTCCTTTTAGTATCAAGTTATAAGCAGAGCAAAACAGAGGCTTAAAAAGAAAGCACTGGATCAAGCCTAACCATAGCACTGCATGCCTCACTCTGGAATTAGCACGATCTCTCTAGAACTAAGCACCTTCAGCTTTTTAAATGCGCTTTCAGCCAATATATTTGTATTGTGTGTGGAGTAAAAATGACACATCTTTCTTTCCAAAAATTTTTTTCAGAACTATAAGCGACACATGGATGGCATGTATGGGCCTCCGGCCAAACGCCATGAAGGGGATATGTATAACATGCAGTATGGCAACCAGCAACAGGAAATGTATAACCAGTACAGCAACGCTTACACGGGGCCTGACAGGAGGCCCATGCAGGGACAGTATCCGTATCCGTATAATAGGGAGAGGATGCAGGGCCCAGGACAAATGCAGCAGCATGGAATACCTCCCCAGATGATTGGTGGCCCCATGCAGTCGTCATCCTCCAGCGAAGGTCCTCAGCAGAACATGTGGCCAACACGAAATGATATGCCTTACCCTTACCAGAATAGGCAAGGTCCAGGAGGCCCTGCCCAGGCCCCGCCGTATCCAGGGATGAATCGCACTGATGATATGATGGTACCTGACCAGAGGATAAACCATGAGAGTCAGTGGCCTTCTCATGTCAACCAGCGTCAGCCTTCTTATATATCATCCTCAGCCTCCATGCAGCCTATCACTAGACCTCCTCAGTCATCCTACCAGACACCACCCTCTATGCCAAACCACATCTCTAGAGCTCCAAGTCCAGCATCCTTCCAGCGCTCTTTGGAAAACCGTATGTCTCCAAGCAAGTCTCCTTTCCTACCCTCCATGAAGATGCAAAAGGTTATACCCACAGTTCCAGTATCACAGGTCACAGTACCTCCACCCCAACCTCCACCAATTAGGCGAGAAATTACCTTTCCCCCAGGCTCTGTAGAAGCATCCCAACCAGTCTTAAAACCAAGACGAAAGATTACCTCAAAAGATATTGGTAAGCATCAAAACAAAAGCCAAATACCAAAATAGGCTGGGAGAAAGGGACTTTGATTTTTATTTTCTTTTAAATTTAAAGACTGTTTTGACAAATAGTTAACTATGGTAACTATAATGTGATTCAATAAAACTGTAATAGCATATGCATCAGTGAGGATGATAGGCAAAACTCATCCCAGACAATCTGACATGACATGAAAGCAGTATTTTATGTGGAGACCTGAGGTCTCCAGAAATGCATTAAAAATGAAGCTTGCCTCAGATTTCCAAATTATATGTGTGGAAAAGTCCTTCAGAATGTCTGTCAAATCACCAATACAACATTTAGCTGAGCAAAGCTTTCTGTGTTCTTGTTCCATGGAAGCTCATGCTATTCCGTTGTGTAGTTATAGTCTCTGCCTCCCTTGAATGGCCCATTTATTCATTTCATATTATTCATCATGCTTGTTTCTCCCCCTGTTCTTTCCCAAGCATCTTATCTTGAATTCCTGTTAAGTTCTCATACAAGTTCCCACACTCTTGACAGAGTATTCTGCCTTTATTTACCATTTGGTTAAGTTAACTTCTCTAAGTTTGTACAATTATTTCAGCTTCAGCAAAGTCGGGAAGAATGGCCCTGTTAAGATGTTCTCCAGTATTATTAAGGCTGAGCAGCAGTTACAGAAAAACTGAACGGGACTAAGGGGTGAAACCAGGGTCTTAAGCAGTGTTTCAGTAACTGTTTCATTTAAATTCGGCATCCTTGGAACGTCACAAGTTTAATCTTTCAGAACTCATTAACTATCTCTATAGATGCACTAATACTGTTTTACTTCTCCTTTCTTCCTCCAGTAACTCCTGAGGCCTGGAGAGTGATGATGTCTCTTAAATCTGGTCTTTTGGCTGAAAGTACCTGGGCGCTAGACACTATTAATATTCTTCTGTATGATGACAGCACTGTCGCTACTTTCAACCTCTCTCAGGTAGGTTGGAAAAGCAGTATACTTCTCACCTTTCCAAGGAAAGAAAACTGAAATAAGATACCTATAAAAATGAAGTCCTTCAAAATTTATTATAATTAAAGTAAATTTTACCATTGTGAAACTTCCCTTTTTTGTGATTGGTAACAGTGAGCAACAAGAGATAGCTTTAAGTCAAATAGGGGAAATAATAAGCCTGAAATAAGGGTCTCTCTTGTAGAAAGGACGATGCAGGAATATAAGAATTTTAGCACTAACAGAAGACTAATGTGTAAAATCACACAACAGTAAAAGGCCAATCCCAGAAAAGAGCAATATGTTAATAAACTTGCTTGTGTTTCCGTAAAAGGCTTTGCAAAACTGCATTAAATTCATTTGAGGCTTGTCTTATTCAGTAGTTCCATACTAGGCTATGGGATGTTTTAGTGACTTATTTTCTGTTTGTTTTTTTCTTCCAGTAAATTAATTTTGCACTGAAATATCAAATTGATAATTTAAAAGCTAAAATCCACTCTCTGTCCACAGGATGCAAGTAACACAGGATTTAACAGTGCATTCTTTAGCCTCACTACCTCTCAGCATTTTTCAGCCCTGCTCTAACCCTTGGCCTGTTAGGTGGTAGTAATAGATGGCATACTGATAATGCACATCATCTAAAATTTGTACCAGTTAAATATTGAGTTTCTCTGCTCCATTCATTCCTTGGTTATTAATAGTGTAACTCATAATTTTTTAAATATAACGACTTTTTTTTTTTAAATACAGACACAAATGGTACATTTCATCCCACCTAACTTTAGAACTAGCGATATCTATAGCATGATTCATCTCATCCTGAAGTGCAGATCTAAAATAGGTCAGATGAATCATACCCTAGAAATGGCCTCTAAAAGACCATTGATTATAAAAGGAATCTAGACAATTAGGTTAGGTGTGTAACTGTTGAGGGGGTTTAAAGATGAGGTGAATTTCCTCTGAATTCTATAGAAATAGCATTAATGTGTCCTGTGCAAGTTGCACAGAATACCAGGCATATTTTAAATATATATTTTCTTGTTACTTTTGTCTTGGACTCTATTTCCAATGCAGTCATGACTCCATATGATGACTGATAATTCCTGCAGTTCATAAGCATCAGTCTGTTCTTAATTCTTCAAGGGTTTGGCAATCGTAAGAGAATACAGAATGGACAAAAGGATACATTTTGCTGAAAACCTATTAGCCCATGATTTAAGAAAACATTAAAAGGCAGACAGTTGGGCTGAATATATCATAACAGCAAAGATTTTTTAATAATAAAGCCACTGAGGGTAAATTAATACCAAGTCCAACTGCTGCCTTTCCATAAGAATGTGATTACAAGTTAATTAAGAGGATTAAACTTAAATGAAAACTGTTTCTGAAGGGTGACTTACAGCGCCAGGCTACAGTAACAATTTTTAAATATTGCCAGGCAAAAATGGAACTATTCCAATAGAGATGGGATATTAAACTAGGATGTCGGTACCTAGACCGTCCCCTGCAGATTCCTACAGGACAGTTGGCTTTAGAGACTGAGAGACAAAGAGAAGGAAGAATTGTAAACTTTAGGCATCTAATAAAACTATAAATCAGAAAAACTTAAGTGAGTTAGAAACTTCAGTACTCTGTACAGAAATTTACAGAACAGCTAGGCTAGATGTCTGCTATAGCTTAAAGGAGACAAATGAATAAAGTTCTGTACTTCTCATAGCTGTTACAGTTTAAGCAAATGGAGCTGTGATCGTTTTTGACATAATACACTGTTTGGACAGATGCTAGAAGAATTCCTTTTGATTAACTTCTGCCATGCAGGACCTAGCCACAACTTCACAGCAGGAGGAGGGAAATATTCACAGATGTATGCATCAGTGTTCCTAATAAAATTCCATGCAGACAAAAATATTTATCTGATTTTTATGTTCTTTCTTCTCCCCTCAGTTGTCTGGATTTCTTGAGCTTTTAGTAGAATATTTTAGAAAATGCCTGATTGACATTTTTGGAATCCTTATGGAATATGAGGTGGGAGATCCAGGCCACAAAGCACTTGATCACAAAGCAGACAAGAAAGATGATAGCCAGTCCTTGGCAGAGGATACTGGAAAAGAGGAGAACAACGAATGTATTGACTATTTTGATGAAGATGAGGAGGAGGGTGAGGATGAAAAGGTAGAAGGAGAAGAAAAGAGCATTGTTTTTTCCACTCCTGGTGCCATTGCTGATCCAAGTGAGAGGCCAAAACAAGCCAGTAAATTTGACAAGCTGCCAATAAAGATTGTAAAGACAAATAATCTATTTGTTGTTGACCGATCTGACAAACTTGGACGCGTTCAGGAATTTGATAGTGGACTTCTCCACTGGCAGCTTGGTGGTGGTGACACAACTGAGCATATCCAGACTCACTTTGAAAGCAAGATGGAGATTCCTCCGCGCAGGAAAGTCCCTCCTCCCTTGAACTCTCCAAGCAAAAAGAAGGACCTCAAGGGGAAAGGTGAATCTGAGGAACAACAAGAAAAAAGTATAACAGCAACCATTGATGATGTCCTATCAGCTCGGCCAGGAGCATTGCCTGAAGACTCAAACTCTGGTTCCCAAACAGAGAGCAGTAAATTTCCCTTTGGGATCCATCAAGCCAAAAGCCACCGGAATATTAAACTGCTAGAGGATGAGCCAAGGAGCCGGGATGAAACTCCTCTATGCACCATAACTCACTGGCAAGACTCCTTGGCCAAACGCTGCATCTGTGTGTCAAATATCGTCCGTAGCTTGTCTTTTGTGCCTGGCAATGACACTGAAATGTCCAAACATCCAGGCTTGGTGCTGATCCTGGGAAAGTTGATCCTTCTTCACCATGAGCATCCAGAAAGAAAGCGAGCGCCGCAGACTTATGAGAAAGAGGAAGAGGAGGACAAAGGGGTGGCCTGCAGCAAGGATGAGTGGTGGTGGGACTGCCTCGAGGTCCTAAGGGATAATACATTGGTCACATTAGCCAACATTTCTGGGCAGCTAGACTTGTCTGCTTACACAGAAAGCATCTGTTTGCCAATTTTGGATGGCTTGCTGCACTGGATGGTGTGCCCGTCTGCAGAGGCACAGGATCCTTTTCCAACCGTGGGGCCCAACTCAGTTCTTTCGCCTCAGAGACTTGTGCTGGAGACCCTGTGTAAGCTCAGTATCCAGGACAATAACGTGGACCTTATCTTGGCCACCCCCCCATTCAGTCGTCAGGAGAAACTCTACGCTACTTTAGTTAGGTACGTTGGGGACCGCAAAAACCCGGTCTGCCGAGAAATGTCCATGGCGCTCTTATCGAACCTTGCCCAGGGGGACACGTTAGCAGCAAGGGCAATAGCTGTGCAGAAGGGAAGCATAGGAAACTTGATAAGCTTCCTGGAGGATGGGGTCACTATGGCCCAGTACCAGCAGAGCCAGCATAACCTCATGCACATGCAGCCTCCGCCACTGGAGCCACCTAGCGTAGACATGATGTGCAGGGCGGCCAAGGCCTTGCTGGCCATGGCTCGAGTGGACGAGAACCGCTCGGAGTTCCTTTTGCACGAGGGTCGTTTGCTGGATATCTCAATATCTGCTGTCCTGAACTCTCTGGTTGCATCTGTCATCTGTGATGTACTTTTTCAGATTGGGCAGTTATGACATAAGTGAGAAGCCAAGCATGTGTGAGTGGAGATTAGAGGGTCACATATAACTGGCTGTTTTCTGTTCTTGTTTATCCAACGTAGGAAGAAGGAAAAAAAAAAAAAAAAGAGAATCTTTGCTCCTCTGCCCCATTCACTATTTACCAATTGGGAATTAAAGAAATTATTAATTTGAACAGTTATGAAATTAATATTTGCTGTCTATGTGTATAAGTACATCTTTTTATTTTATTTTTTTTAACCAAAGTTGCTGTCTAGTACATTCAAAGGTCACACTTTTTTTTTTCCATAGATTATCCTTTTCAATGTTCTTTTCCATGTTTGTATTGCATATTTTTTGGGAAGCGAACTAGTGACTTTAAAAAAAAAAAATGTTATGGCAAACCATTGTATGATGGAAAAAAAATCTCACCACTTTGAAACAAAAAGGTGAAAAATAACCAACATACCAAGTTCCTGTGTGTTTTATTTTTTCAAATAAGGAAAAAATAAAAAAAAAAACTTGTATACCATCACCCAAAGCTCTGTGCAATAGAAGATTCTAGTGATGTAGGTGTAGGGGATCAAGGAGGGTGTCAGTCAGTAGTCAAAATACAAAACAATACTGGTTTCTCCTCAGGAGAAGTGGTTACATTAGGCTAGGAGCAAAACAAAACAAAAAAAGTCAAGTTAAAAGATTTTTAAACAAAACCTGATGATAAACGTCAATTGCTTCCTCACCAGAACTGTCTTGTCTACATCTAGTTTTTTTGACCTTCCACAATGACAGTTCTTCACAATTCCTTTAATCATTTTTTAAAATATTTTTTTATTGCCTAAGGGCCGTGATGTATATAGAAGTTGTACATTAAATATACCCTCATTTTTTTTTTTTAGTACAAAGTTTTTAGTTTCTTTTTCATGATGTGGTATCTACAAAGTGATAGTAGAATTATTTTTTCTTTCATTTGGGCCATATCTCCAAAAAATAATAAAAAAAAAAAAAGAAAAAAGAAAAAACCCAACACAGAAAACCACCAACTGAGGGTAATGTACAAGTTTCTGTATGTATAAAGTCATGCTCTATTTCGGGAGAGCAGCTGATCACAATTTGCTTTATAAATCAAGGTGTGGAAATGGTTACGTATGGATTGATTTAAGAAAATGGTTACCAGTCTACAGACAAAAAAATATATACAGGAAAACAAAAAAAGGAAGAAACACAACTTCAAAGATTTTTCAGTGACAAGAATCTGCATTTGTATTTCAAGATAATGTAGTTAAAAAAGAAAAAACTTGATGTAAATTCCTCCTTTTCCTCTGGCTTAATGAATTTCATTTATTCAGTATAAAATCTTTATATGTTCCACATGTTAAGAATAAATGTACATTAAATCTTGTTAAGCACTGTGATGGGTGTTCTTGAATAATGTTCTAGTTGCAGCGTGGGATATCAGAAAGCAAACTAATTACAAGAAAGAGCAATAATGATTATTCTCTTTACCTTGCTTTATTATTATGACCTTCAAAAACATTACGCTATTGTATTGCAGCAACTTGCTCTCCTTTTAGGAAAAGCCTTTTTGCATCAGAGAAGTGTTTTTAATTATTATTTCTAAACCAGGAAGCCTCAAAGGGAAAGACATGGCTGGCAAATGACAGTCCTGACTATGCAGGTATTTAGTCTCCATGCTGTGTTTGGGAGACTGAAGATGGATGTTAGAGAAAGTGACAAAAGATTTTGTTAAAGCAATATCCAACTTGAAGAAATTGATCTGTATTCACTACCTGTAATTCTCTCTATTGGTTAAAGGTGCAAATACCCCAGTGATGTGGGTATTTAGAATAAACACCCACCCACTTCTCGATACTGTATGTGTCATTGCATACTTACACAGCCTCTCATCCTGGGAGTCTCCCGTTAAAGTGGATCAGGCTTTAATAGAGCACATCCATCGTTATAATTGGTTGGGAGATGGCCCTTTCAGTTTCAGGAATGATCTGGTTTCAGATACATCCACTCTCACCTGGTGATATCTTGTTGCTGAATATTGTTCAAGCACTAATTTTTGCTATTTCATCTTGGATCATTGACTTTGTTAGTGTGATCATAAAAAGCTAATAATAATCAATTTCCCTGGAATTGCCACATAATTACACTGTTAGTGGATATCCTCCTCCTCTCTCCAATAACAATATGGAGGTACTTGAAAATTACAACCCCCTTTGGCATACTGCCCATCTTGTTCATATAGATTGCTATAACATTAATATAGGTGAGAGAATTTCAGAGACAGGTGAAGTATATACATTTATAAGCCAAGTTTGAAACGTGACTCCCTAGTGTCATGAAAAGTAATTTATCCTTCTAGCTTTTCTTATTCAGTACTGGCCCCATGCCCACATCACCTGCTGCAGTGGTCTGTCTTTCTCTTGCATATCGCTGAATTCAGAAACACATGGTGAATTATGACCCACTTGTAACTTCATCACATAAGGAGACATATTTCAGGGATGATTTTTACAGCTTAATACAGGGCAGTGTGGAAGTACTATCCCCTGACAAAGTTATTTCTTACTACCATTTTACTGCTTGATATTATGGCATGGATACAAGCAAGCTGTTAAATAAACCCTCTGCTGAGCGATATTCACCCTTTTCTTGTCAAGGACAAGAAAGGACAACTAGTCTCTTTTCTCTTCAACATTCAGACACAGAGGCCTCTGGGGGAAACTACAGCTGTGGCAAAATGCTGTGAGCTGTCAGAGGCAGCACTTTAGTGTTATTCAGGACTGCTCCGAGCCTGGTTAAGCAACATAGTGGGGAAAAAAAAAATAGCTAGCCATCCAGCCACATGATGTCCATATGTATGTAACATTGCTGCCCCTTTCCAGTTGGGCCAAGAACTAGTTGGTGAACTGGAAGAGTGGAAGGAAAAGGTTAATACTACAGATTCTTCCTGAACATGATTTTATGCTGTTACACTAGGAGTAAATTATCCAAGTTGCTGGTTAGTATTACAGCACATTTAGCAGAAGAAAGGTGAAGCATAAGAACTCCAGTTCCCTCTGTTGTCTATGTGTGATTTCACCTCTCCCACAATGTTCTCTTAAGCCTTTGGAGAAGACCGGCTCATGAAACTTGTGAATGTAGCGTGTGCTAACTGAATCCTGAACAAGTTTGAGCTGCTGTTGGTATTGTTCTTACTAAGAGATATTTTGGTTTTCAGTTCTAAAAAAAGAAAAATCCACATTTTTGTGCTGATGTGATCACAGATACTCTGTAGTGAAGCTCAAGAGTAGTACCAACAAGAAGGTGCAATATTTGACATTCTAAAACTGCAATGAGTTGTTTAGGGGAAAGCAGCCAATTAGTATTCTAGGCAATAATCAAACACAAATATTTGACTACTATATCTATCAATAAGGTACCTGTTTCTTTGGCAGGCCCAAGCAACTAATTGCTTATAGATTGAAAGAGCAGCAATGATAGAGTCCCTGAATCTTACTGACCTTCAGAATCACTTCAGGAATTAAAAGATGGCTATCCCCTTTGTCAGGAAAAAAATGGTTTTGTTTCTTGTTAGCATAATTTCCTACACTATCCTAAAAAAAAAAAAAAAAAAAAAAACCACACACCACACAACAACAACAAAGCAACCACATCCCACATGAAAACATTCTGCTCAGAAACACTACGTTTTCAACTATACAAAAGGAAGGATGCAGAAGAAAAAGTCATCCACATGATTAAAAGCCTCTGCACTTCCTCTCCCATCTTTTGCTGTTTTACACCACAATCAGTGAATTCTGTGCCATATGTCACTACTGTGAGACCATTATCTTTTTGTCCTGGATACATCCAGAAGGAATGTTTAACTTAGAGAAATATTGTAGCAAAAGCATATGCTCATCTTCCACATTAATAGTTCTATACCACACTTTTACGTGCAATGTGGGGTACACCTCTTATTTTACAAATAATATGAAAACACCTCTTGATAATAATAAAGTGTATCTATCATGACAAAAACACTTCAATCATCTAGCCATTGCAGGGGGTAGGTTCATTTCAACTAGTGTTTGAACCAATTTTGTAGTGCTTCACTCTCATTCTGAAGCTGCTCTTCAATGTTACATAGTAGCAAAAAAAAAAAAAAAAAAATCACTATAGTCTTCTCTGTTCCCCCCTGTACAAGAGGAAGAGTTGTAAACATCCATAGTCCAAATGACAAAGCTAACCTGAAACTGAACTGGAATGTGGGAGCTGAGCTGAGGTGGCACACAGCTAGTTCACCCCTTCGGGGAGCTGTGTGTACGTTCCTTACTCTGCAAGTAGTCATAGTGTTGTAGCTAAGAAATGACACACACATTGCTCAAACACTGTAATAACGCTGTGGTTATCACAGAAGTCAGTGTTTTCTGTGTTTTAAATAGGAGCAGAGTCTCAAAATTTCGAGATGAGTTCTCCAGGGAACTTCTATTTTTATCACCATCGACCTGGTAATATCAAATATGTGGAAACCACACTCAGGCACACGCAAAACCACAAAGCGGTCCCTGCTGCAAAAACCTTATTTTCCAAGTCATGAACAAGTAACTGCAGGTGGAGACAGGACAAAATGGGAGCAAAAGCAACAGTAAACTGAAAAGGCAGGTACCACTCTTGTAGCAGAGGGGAATTACGAAGATCTAGAACACAGCCCCATACCACCAGCAAATTCAGTTTTCCTCAGGATAATTTGTGAAATTTCTAGGGGCTCCCCCCTTTTGTTTTCTCATTATGAAATCTTACTCTTCCCCTGCCCAATCCCTTTCCCTCCATCTCAGATTTTTTTTAAGGATTGTTGAGTTTGAAGAAAGGTGAGAGAAAAGCACTGAGGCAGCAAAGGGAGAAAACACATGGCCGTTTGGAGAAAGGGAGGCAGAACACAGACAGAGCTGAAAGAAAAGCATCCTATGTCCCTGCTGCATGGCTCTATTTTTACGTTTGGGTCATTCCATACAGGTGAATAATTAACCCAAGCTAGGGGAATTTGGCATTTCATTGGTGGTTGGTATATATTAAAAAAATACAGTAAAAAGAGATTGTGAGAGGTGGGGGGAGCAAGGAAAGGGAAGGCAAAGGGAAAGATGGGCCTCCACATGCAGACTGGTAAATTAAATTTTTACTGAATTATATTTACCTTTCAAATCCCAAA